GCGCCGCGACGGCGCATGCGATGCATCGCGCGATCGGCTTACGCAAGGGCGCGCAACTTCTCTCGATTAGTCTCCCCGGACGAGAGAGACAGAGAGAGAGAGAGAGAGAGAGAGAGAGAGAGAGAGAGAGAGAGAGAGAGAGAGACAGAGAGAGAGAGAGAGAGAGAGAGAGAGGGAGAGTTGCCTCACACACCCGCCGCCCGCCCGGTGGCATAGAAAATTAGGCCGGAGCGGCCGTTGCTGGATATTTAGCAATGCATCGATAACGAGCGCGCGCTCACGCTGGTTTACGCTAATTAGAGCGCCGGGGCCCGGGATGCGCGCGATGAATTTTAACGCCCGGCAGCCCGCTCGGCCGCTCGTGGCGTTGTTTCGTGTCGCAACGGCTCGCAACATCTGTATCTCGCGATACAATCTGCACCTGTTGTGGCAAAAGGGTACCTCTCCTCCCCCTCTGCCCTCCTTCCTCTCCCCCCCTCCCCACCGACCCCCTTCTGTCTCCCGCTCGCTCTCTTTTTCCTCGAGTTTGCGCCGTTGCATTTATTAGATCGCCGATTACGCTCATTACGCGCGCCGCGCGAGCGTTACGCGTTCGCGGAAGCCACGCGCGTCTGATTTTCATCATTCACGAAATGCCGCGCGCTGGCGGCGCGCGGCGTTTCACCGCGGAAAAAAATCGGTAAACGCGCCGCGCCGCTGGCGATGGCCGCGGCAGCGCGGCCGGCGTCTCTTGCGCCTTTGGCGGAATACGTCGCGTTAATAACCCGGTAAATATCAATTTTCAACAAGCGAAAGAACCCCCCCCCCCCACCCTCTCTCTCTCTGTCATCCGTCCTGCGCTCGGGAACGCACGAGTCTCTCCTGCGAATCTTGTAGCGCGTTATTCGACTCGAATCCTTGCTTATCGTAATCAATGTCCTTCTCATCGGGATTTCAACGGCGACGCGTGTGAAATCGCGGTAAACGCGGTCGCGAGGCGAAGAGGGAACGAGCTCTCGCGGCTTAATTGGTCGCCGCTCGCCGTCGAGAGATAACGGCGCGATAACGGCGCTCGTTCGAACGGCACCGCCCTGTGTGCGTGCGAGGCGCGTGTGGGGGCGAGAGGGGGGTCGCGCGATAACTCGTCGGTTTAGGATCGTCGGTGTAGCCCGGCCACCCTCGAGAGAGTCTAACCTTGATAAGGATCGCTGCTAATTGTTGCGAATTGGTGAAGGTGGCGAACGAACGAGGGAGAGGTTGGGCAACAGGTGTCATCTGATTGATCGCCGTTGCTCGCACCCCCGCGATTACCTAGCCCACAAACACATCCACGGTAGAAACGAAGGACTTAATGTCGATCCATTACCTACTGGCGGCCAGCCGTTGGCGAGGAACCGTTGACCTGACGCGCGCACCAAAGTGCATTACGAGGCGGAAAAGGACCGCCGTCGAAAAAGAGCGGGACGTCGCGCGCGCGCGTTGCACGTCGCGTCGCGTCGCGTCGCGTCGCGTCGCCTCGCTCGCGAATCGACGAGTAATTGCGCGCCAGTCGTGACGCGTTTTTTTCCTCCTAATCCCTCGGATAAAACGTTATCCTCTCCCGCGTTACTCTCTTCTCCGGTGAGTCGAGTGCGTGCCGCACCCGATGAGAGATTTTAGGCTCGCCCTCCCCCCGAAATCGGTTCCGGAAACTCTGATCTTGAGATTGGTGAGGTCCTTAAATTAATTAACTTACGTTGCGTCGTCGATCAGAGCTGATCGACTATCGAGACTAACGAGTAATGAGATAAAATGTCTCCGCTTTCCCAGCTGATATTACAGAATTAACGGCACCAAGTCGGTGAACAAAATTAACAGCTGAAACCTGAAGGTCTCCTCTTGTCGCCTCGGCGATGCTCCAGAGATCCTTCTTTCTCATATCGGGCGTCATCGCGGGCGAACTTCCGGAAAGCAGCCACGCCTGCTGATGGCTGTAAACGTCGAGAGAGTGCTCAAGTACACTGTAAACTGAAGCGTGTTGCAATAACACGCTTGAAGCGTGTTAAAGCACGCCTCCACTTTAGACGTATACAAAATCAGCAAATTAAATTAACACATAAATGTATGTTAAAAGAACATATTTATGTATGTGTGTTTAATCATAATCGTATTTGTATGTGTGTTAATGGTTAGGTATATTAAAATAACACACCTCAAGTGTGTTATGAAGGTGAATTGAGCGACATTGCAAATCCAAATGTGTTATTTTGAAACGCACAGGCGTGTAAACGAATGGATCTTTTTTCACACATTTCTTCCGTCGCCGTGCTAAGTCACGCGTCATTTAACATATTACGTTTAAACATATAATAATGAATAACATATAATTAACGATTTAGTCCGTAATAATATGAAAGCAAGTTATCACTGCATTAATTTGTTCAATAGATACAATACTTTTTTGAAGACGAGTAATCGCCGATTTTGTCGATTAGTGTTCTCCTCGCATGTATCTTTCTTTTTAACACACACATATGTGCGTTCATTTAACGTTTGTTAACAAAATTAGTGTGTTATCATGAACATTACTAGTGTGTTACGTGACTCGGTGTGTTATCCAATATATCATCCAAGTGTGTTCTCAGTGTATTCCGATTATCATTCTGTGTGCCCAAATAACACGCTCCACGTGTGTCACGGGATTGTTGAGGAAAAGTAACACAGGTTTCTGTAGTGTATTACATATGGTGTGTTATTAGAACGCACTTTTGTCACGGGAAACGAATTATTTTGACGCACTTGGTGCCTTAACGCCAGCTAACGTGTCAAAATAACACACTAAACACTCAACTTTTAACACACATGTTCCGATGTGCCTTTTACAGTTTTACAGTGTAGCCAATCAGTCTCGCGCCGCTTTTCCGTGTTTCCCCCGTGAATCCCCCGTGATTGCACGTTTACACGATAACGAATGGATATCTCTGCTCCGGAGCAACGCGAAGCGCCGTCGTGCGGTCGCTCTAGCTTTCAGTTCGCGCGAAAAGGAGGATTAAGAGGGCAGCGTGTGAAAAAGTACACACGACGACCGCAAAGCGACACGCAGCCTCGTCCAAACCTGTTTGGCGCGCGAGACTCGTTCGCCGGGCAGAGAATCCGCGGCTACAGCGGAATCATCGCGGCGGCGGCCGGAAGGACTCTGGCGCTTCCGAGGACGCCCCGCGCGCGCGCGCGCGCGCGCGTGTGCAAAAAGTCGCGGCCACGGCGAGTGGATGGTAAATCATCCAAGGCCGAAAGGGCGTAGCGAGCGGGGCCGCGGTCGTCGTCGTCGTCGTCGTCGTCGTCGGCGACGGCGGCCGAGTCGCGCGAGATTAACAGCGCACCGCCGTGAATATTCGCCGGGATAATTGATACCGACGCACGGCCGAGGGGGGGGGAGCGGCTGACCATTGGAAACCACGCGCGCAATATATCACGGATAATAAGCAGCCGGTGCGCGCATACAGAGAGAGAGAGGGGGGGGGCGGAAGGAAAGGGGCGGCATCCGCGTCCCGTTGTCCTCTCTCTCTCTCTCTCCCTCCGCGCGATGCGATCGCGAGGCGACGCAAGGCGACGCGCGATTCCTCGCGGTTCCGCAGAGTCACGTCGCGGCCGTTCCGCGTCCGAAGGAAGGAAGGAAGGAAGGAAGGAAGGCTGACGCTCGTCCGCGGAACAATGGCCGGCGACGCGCGCGTCGTCGCCGTCGGATGCCGCGCTAGGCGGCGGCCGGGCAAGTTACTGCGGATTTAGGTGCACGTCGAGGGCCCGACCAGGAGAATGATCGTGCGCGAAGTGACCCGCGTAATCGTAATTAATCATCGTGTAACCCGTGACTCGCGGATCGGTATCGCGGGCGGCCGCGGCGGCGAGCCGCTTTCTCTCTCTCTCTCTCTCTCTCTCTCTCTCTCTCTCTCTCTCTCTCTCTCTCTCTTTCGTGTGTTCCTCGCCCGCGCCCCTTCTCTCCCTCGGAGAGCGGCAATGTCGGAATTTATGATCGGCCGTGATGGAATTGGAATGAGCAATCGTTGCACCTTTGTCGAGGCAGCTCGCGCGAGCTGCCTCCTCTTCCGCATTGGCAACGCGCCGCCGCCGGAGGAGGGCGCGAGGGCGGGGGGCTCGTTTCCGGACTAGCCTGTCTAATACGCATATTTTTGCCGTGCGAAAAATAAGACGTAACGAGCCGTTGCTTGATTTATAACGTAACGCAGGCACGAGAGAGCGAGAGAGAGAGAGAGAGAGAGAGAGAGAGAGAGAGAGAGAGAGAGAGAAGCGGCCCACGCAGACCGAATTAGCGGTCGTGTAATCCGCGGCTGATCGATCGCTATCTCCGATCTCCGTTTATCACCGCTCGAAAAGCCAAGCCCGAGCGAGGGCTCGCGGCTCGCGGCTCACGGCGCGCGGCGCTCGACAGGAAGATCTTGTCTCGTAACAATGCCGGGCCTCATCATCGATCTCGGCCGTTACGGCGTCCGACGGACCTGGAATTAACAATCGGTACTTTGTGCCGCTCCATTGTTGTGCCATGAAGTCACTGTATATTAATAGACACGCGGAGAGTGTAGAGAGAGAGAGAGAGAGAGAGAGAGAGAGAGAGAGAGAGAGAGAGAGAGAGAGAGAGAGGGAGAGAGAGAGAGAGCGCGCGCGAGCGGCAGATGCATCCGCGCGGCGGCGCGGCCGCGCCGAAAGCGTTTTCAATGAGATCCAAATCGGCGGAGGGACAGAGAGAGAGAGAGAGAGGAGAGAGAGAGAGAGAGAGAGAGAGGGAGAGAGAGAGAGAGAGTCAGTCGTCGCGATTTATTACCGGTCCCGCCGCGCCGTGATCGCCCCGCGGTGCGCACAGAGAGGGAAAGGAGGGAGGCTGCACGAGAGATCGAGAGTAGACGCAGAGAAAGGGGACGGGAAAGGGGAGGAGGGAGGGACGGGGGGGGGTAGAAGAGAGCAAGGTAGAAGACGTTTGAGTGTGACGTGGCGATTTCGCTACACGCTGCCTGACCTATTGTTCGCAGGATCGTGAGGAACAAGGCGGCGGAGAAGGCGAAGCACGCGCATCAGCAACAGCAGGCGCAGCAGCAGCAAGGTCAGCAGCAAGGTCAGCCCGGATCGGGCGGTTCCGTGTCGGTGATAGCACATGCACCTGCGACGGCGGCAGGCCATCCCGCTGCCACCGCTCCCAACGCCTACAGCATCAGTGGCATCTTGGGCATCCCGGTGCACCATCAGGATCCCAACGGCAACAGCATCAAGAGGAAACGCAGCGACGACGGTGAGTCACTGCTAGCTCGCGTCGTGTCGCTGACCCTCGCTCGTTCGCTCGTCCGCAACATTATTCAATGCGGCGGATTCGCGCGCTCGCAGTCGAGATATCGCGGCGCGGCCGCGCTCTCGCGGACTCGACGAGATCGCGAGCGCGAGCGTCGTTTTCCTCCGCGGCGAGGCGGGGGCGAGGCGGGACGGGCGGGACGAGGAGAAGGACGGTATCGTTGAGAGTGATGATAAGGGCGGATAAAAACGCCCGATTCGAGAGAGAGAGAGAGAGAGAGAGAGCGTAATTGTGAGCGCAGGAGAGTCGCGCGCGACGGCGACGGCGACGTCGTTTATGAGAGCTCGCGAGAGACGCGATGTAAGTTCGCCGAGCAAGAAATACGGCGACATTTGCATCGCCGTCACGGCCCGGCGAATCGCCGCGAGTTCCGTCGGTTTACACGGAGGCGGGCCGCCGAGACAATGGAGAAGTTGAACAATTTCACGAAAACTCAGACGTTAATACCGGCGCGGTGACGTCGCGCGAGAGCCGTCCGAGTCAATTTGCTCGCGCGCGCTCATTGTCTCGTCGCGGCGCGGCGTGAGCGGCGGGGGGGAGGGGGTCTCTCCCGAATTTTCGCCGGCTTATTTACCCGGCGGGACAAAGAGCCGCGAATTATACTCCGCTCGATTGTGACGTCCATTGAGAGACAGCCGGAGTGGCTGGGGGAGAACGGAGGGAGACATTCGATTACGGACGTAATGACGGACGCGTATCTCGTCGGACGTGACTGTTCGGCCCGTGCGTGCGAAATACAAAGTAGACGCTTTCTTACAATGGTCTCTCGAGTAATTAACCCTTTGCTTGCGCCCTCCTTGGCAGCCAATGGAAGAGAGAGCGCGCGCCGCGACGTCGCTTCTTGCTCGCAGCAACGTCGTTGCTCCGAGCAAGAGTCGCTCTTGCGCTTGCGAGGTATTGAAATTTTAAGCGCGAGTCTCGCGCTTGAGCCGCGCGGACGTTTCAGATTCAACCGGAAAGTTCGGGTCTAGCTCGAAATTCAGCCGCGATCAGTCCGCCTCGTTGGAGCGATCGCGTTGGTCACTGCGTAGCGAGTGAAAAAATTACGTTGGCCGTTTCGTCCAACATTTTGCGTCTTTCCTCCGTAGGAGGGCTGCTATCAAGGCCGTTTCGTTCTTCCGTGTTCTTCGCGGGTTCTGACTCGAACGCTGCCGCTTTCCAAGAATAAGTTTGATCTTAACCTCGTGACATAGAAATAAAGCGAAATTTGATGCGTTTGAAGAATACTATTTAATTCGGCTCAACTGAACTGAACAGCCATGTGTAAGCTTAGAAACGGAACATTTTATTTTGAAATTTGCCTTGTTATATAACGTTTAATCAGGTTGATATATCGTGTTAATGGACAATAATTAAGTAACACAATAAAATAATAAATTCGTAGTTCTGCAGAGTATGATACGTTTCAAAACATTTTGGAATATGTAAAGGAACTGGACACTTTTCGCACCGCCAAGTTGTTTCGCTTCTTATATTATTTTTTACGCACACATGGCATCTCTTCGCAGGATGCTCCTCTTTACTGGTCGAAGGTATACGGGAAAGGTATTCAGGGAAATGTGCCCAATGTTTTGCCTGCAGCCGAGTTGGGCACTCATTTTGCGGCGGTCTGCCACGTGTCGGATAATTAGGAAGGGACAAATTACACAGCGTATCTTCTGCAATATTCAATCCGGTACCGTTGAGAAGGGGGGAGAACCCTGAGCATTCGAAAGAAAACAGAATCGACGCACGATTCTCGGCGTCCGCCGGAGACAGTTCTTGACGTCATTATATGTCAAGGGGTTCATGAAAGTTGACACACACACACAGTAAAGAAATATTGTTGAAACTAAGCTGAAACTTAAATTAATTCTCTCTTAATTAAAATTAAGGACCCGTACACACTATATAACCACGGAAATTGAATGCTTTGAGATACGAAAAGACTTGCCCCTAATAATTTTCGCCAAAATTCCTCCAGAGCTGTCGCGTCGGCCGGCGCTCAAAGGGTTGATGCGTAGGGCCGAGCGGGCGATGCAGAAGCGAAACCCACACACACACACACACACTGGCGCGGGCGAAGGCGTAATGACTCGCGCGGACGTTTCCCGCTGGCTCTCATTCGCGGCGGAGAGATCGCGGCCGTCGCGCACGTTACCCCGAGCGAACCAAGATTAGCCACACACACAGCAAGGTTATCAGTCAAACGTCGGCCAGCACGTGCTGCGATTCATTCTGCTGTCGTTGCGTGAATAACGCGGCCCGAAATATTCCTGACACGTGCTGCGGCGCCACGCGACCGACGGCGGCGGCGCGTTCTCGAGAGCGCAGAAGAGCGCTCGCCCCGGGATTTCGAGAGCCCCGCGGTTCGCTCGCTCGTTTTACGAGGTGCAAAACAATGGGGAGGAGGGGTGGGGAACTCGCTCGCGATTTTACAGCCACTCGGTATCGTCCTGATGATCTCACGCAAAATCTCGCGCAAAATCGAGTCGAGTCGTCCGCTTAAGGCGGAATCTCCCAGTTCTTGCAGTGGGCTTCCAGCGATTAATTGAAAAGAAACAAGAGAACACCACTGGAGCATTGGCGCCAAGGGTGTCTTTCTTACTCCACTAAAAAGCCCCCGCAGTTGTTGGCAAAATGGCAGCTTCAGCTCGAGCAATCAGCGAGCAACGCGCGAGTCGCTCGCCGGTCTCCCTCGACCGGCGACTCGGACTTTTTCTCGCGGTCGCTCGCGAGACGACCCGCGCGAGGGATTCGCACGTCATCGTCAGGCGGCTCGTATATGCCGCGATCAAAATTCCGCGTATCGCGCGGCGTGGATATATCGACTCGCATACGCGCGGCTCTGCGCGCCGCGCTGCCGATGGGTACCCGGGTAATTCAATATAATCGGATTATGAGAGCGGCGATACGCGGCCGCAAAAGCGGTCGCATCCGCGGCGAGAGCACTCAATGTTTTGCGCGCGCGCGCGGAGGGGCGGACGTATTAGATTATAAACTTCACAGACCACAGGCGGCTTCTATCTCGCGCGCGCGCGCGCGCGCGCGCGCGCGGCCCCGACGACACATTAGCCTCCCTATCCTCCGGGGAGATCATCGGCGGTATACGTACGTACCGCGCGCGCGTGGCGTATATAGCTCTCTCCTCTCCTCTCCTAACTGTCTGGAATTTCAACGAGCGCAGCAGCGCGCCGACGTACACGCGGCGCGGCGTACATCCGAGCGAGCGAGCGAGCGAGCGAGCGAGCGAGCGCTCCTCCGTCCGCCCGTCCGGGAACGTCAAAATCGACCGAGCGTCGCGAGCGCGTTCAAGCCGCGGCCGCAAGTGCTGAAATTTAATGAAACGCCGCAGGCCGGGGAGAGAGAGAGAGAGAGAGAGAGAGAGCCGCTCGAAAAACTCTGTTACACGGATAACCCGATCGATCCCATCTCTCGGACTCGCCGGCGATGGAAATGCCGTTGCGCGCAACTACCAGCTCAGGCACGAGCCGCCCCGAGGAGAATGCACGGCTCTTCCCTCTCTCTCTCTCTCTCTCTCTCTCTCTCTCTCTCTGTGCTCGCTCCGGTCAATTATCTCGTTAGGCGATGCGTACTGAGGATACGTGTCGGCGAGGTCTCTGCGAACAAGGAGACGGGAGAAGACTGAGGAGAGGAGGAAAAAGGAAGAGGCAGAGAGAGAGAGAGAGGGGGGGGGGGAAGAGAATGGAGGAAGTAACTCGGGGCGAAGTAAGCGATCGCACACGGACGTGCTCCGCGAGATTTGAGGCTCGTCGGCCGGGAAAAATCGGAGCGGTCCCGGCGCGCCGTCGGCTATTATTGATGCCCTCGACGAACGAGCCAAGACATACCCGCGCCCAAAAGTCCTCGGAGCTTATTACGAATTTACGAACGGCCTCTCGAGGGAAGCATTGCAATCTATCGGGGCTGTTTGTTGTCGCGTTACATCTGCGCGCTTTTGCCCCATGCAGAATCCCAGAGTCCGCCTAGTGTCCCACCCTATATGTATGTATGTATGTATGTATGTATGTATGTATGTATGTATGTATGTATGTATGTATCCCTCGGACGTAGGGGACACGCCAGATTCGCCCCAAAGTCCATTATTACCCGTGTATTGTATTGCTTAACATTGACTCAATTGCTTTCGAATAACGCGAGCGAGGGAGCGAGATGGAGACGGGAATAGAGATACACGGCGAGAGAGAGAGAGAGAGAGAGAGAGAGAGAGAGAGAGAGAGAGGGAGGGAGAGAGAGAGAGAGAGGGAGAGAGAGAGAGAAAGAGAGAGAGAGAGAGAGAGAGAGAGCGGGAGAGAACGCGCGCGTGCTTTGCTCTCCCGAGCATCAATCGAATTATTCGACTTACTGCTCTTTTTCGAGAGGGGGGCCGCGCGCGCGCTGACCTTCCTCTTCCGCGCGACATAATTCATTCGCTGTCATACGCGAAAGAGTCGACGACCGGCGCGGCGCGGCGCGGCGCGACGGGAGCGCCAAGCCTGCGCGAATGTCGCCTCAATGAGGCACGGCTTGATTCCTGCGGAAAAAAGCGGGGTAGCGGAAAGAGCTCTCTCTCTCTCTCTCTCTCTCTCTCTCTCTCTCTCTCTCTCTCTCATGTCTTGCCTTCGAATCTGCGTAATATAACGCTCGATGCGGCTTACGAATTCAAAGACGGATTTACCGACGAGTGAACATTCCAGCAGCGCGAGGCCCACCAGGAGGCGCGACTCCAGGGAGGAAGTGGGTTACCCGAGTTGCTCGAATCTCCGGCGAGCCGGCCGCGTCAACTCTCCTCCGTATGAACGTCCACGTGGGGCAACAATGTCCGCGTTTAAAAATATCCCGGCGAGGGACGCGCTCGGTGGCGCGTGTCCGCGAATAAAAACAAGGACGACCGCACGTGAACAGCGCGAGCCGCGCGCGCGGTAAAAAGGCCGAGTCCGACTGCTCGTCGGCCGATAGCCTCCGCCGCCGCTGCCGATTTGACCAACTCATCGCTCGCAATCCGACTCGCATAAGCCCCATCTGCGATCTGCAAGGTGGAACAGCCGAGAGAGAGAGAGAGAGAGAGAGTGAGAGAGAGAGAGAGAGAGAGAGAGAGAGAGAGAGTGAGAGAGAGAGAGAGAGAGAGAGAGAGCAGCGTAACCCGCCCTAAAGTCCAGTAAAACCGTGCTGCAACTCTACGTAGCCGGTCTCTCGCGTACGCGGCGCGGCGCGGTCGCGATTAACTCGGCCGATCGAATCGTAAAATTCGAGCGGCACCGAGAGAGGGTAGAGCGCGCGGCAGCACGGGCCAGCGGGCGCGCCGGTGTGCGGCGTGTTTGAAACGAGGGTTTTATAGCGCTCCGGGAACAAACCCTGCCGCTCGAATGGTCGGGACCGTCGCTCGGCCGGCCGGACAATCACAACTTGACAGGGAGGTTTAACGAGCCCTATGCTAGCTCGGCGCACCCCCGCCCGCCCCGCCCTCGGACGGTCATTTAATTATTCGAGATACCCCGAACGTTGGACCATACGCCCCCCTCCCCCCCCGCCCCCACCAGCGACGTTGCTCTGTCCGTACTCTCTCTCTCTCTCTCTCTCTCTCTTTCTGTCCCCTTCGCCGCTTCTCCTCGTCCACTTTTGCCATGTGTGTGTGTGTGTGTGTGTGTGTGTGTGTGTGTGTGTGTGTGTGTGTGGGGTTCTCTCACCGGTCGGTTCCATCCTCGACCTCGCTGCGCGTTGCACCCCCGCGCGTCAACCCGCGGCACACCGGAATAACGACACTCTTGTCCCACGTGCCTGTTCCTATATTAAACCGCCGGGACGGCCGGGAGATAATAAAGACATATAATGGAATCGAAATTGTTTCTCTATCTATCAATGCCATACGGCGTCTACGCGCGCGAGCCGCGCCGCGCCGCGCCGCGCCGCGTCGCGCGCGTCCAGTCCACTCGACAGATTCAATTTAGTTTCGGCCGGCCACGTTTAATTTGTGTCTTGATTCGCGGGTAATACGTGTGGGTGCCGTACGTGCGAGCGTGCAGCAGCAGCGCGGTCGCCATGGGCGATCCATTTTGCCTCTCGCGTCCTTCCTCGGATTATCAAATCCGAGATGCGACCATGCGACATGTGCGGCGCGAATCGCCCGGCGGAAATGCAGGCCGTCTCCATTTTCGCCGAGCGATCTCGCGACGAAGAGCCCTTCGCAATTTGAGTCGCGATTTTCACGCCAAGCTTCCGTCGGTTCCAGACGACAATCGCGACCTCAACGACCACGCCGAGAACGACCTGAAGAGGCAGAGAAGCAACTACAACGGCGATCAGCTGTACTCGAACGTGAGTATGCGACGACGCGCGGAGGGAGTGAGAGCGAGCGGTGAGAAAAGGTGAGACAAAAGGGAAGAAGTGAGGCAAGTTGTACACTCCCGCGTAATTTGCGAGACGACTTGCTGTTTAGTCGCGCTCAACCGGCCGCGTTGATTCGCGCCGCGCGAATAATCGAGCCCGAGGTTGTCGCCGAGAGAGGAAATCCCCGGAGAGCGCGTCTCAATGAGAGCGCCGTAATCAATCAAAAGCGACGCAAAGTTCCGTAGAATCTCCATAACTCCGGCGAGCAGCCGTTACGGTAATCGCGGGACCGAATCGGCCCGTAGCTACAACACCCAAGTCAATCTTGCCGCTTGTTCTCGGATGTCCCTCCAACTCGCGAACTTCGACTTCAGCTTCCGCCGGTCTGTTGCAGCTGTGGTCGAGTAAATGGAGCATCAAGGACGAGCACAAGTTCCTGAGCGAGCTCGGCGGCGGCGGCGGCGGCGGCGGCGGCGGCGGCGGCGCAACCGGCGGCACGAACGGCGCTGGAGGAGGCGGCGGCGGCGGCGGTGGAGGTGGCGGAGGCGGTGGAGGCGGCGGCGGTGGCGGCGCCGGCGGCGGCACCGGCGCGGTGCCGGCAGCGGCGGCGGCGCCGGCGGTGCTGCAGAGGCGGCGGCGGAGGTGGCGGCGGTTACTACGAACACGGCGGATTCCCCGGGAACGCTATTGCCACCTCCGCCGAGCTCTACGACTCCCTGGGCACCATCAGCACGATGACGCAAGCGCAAACTCCCCATCTCTACACCCCGCCCATAGGGGGCACCATAGGTGAGCGCGCTCGCGTTCCTTCTCTCTTCGCCCTCCGCCGAAACCCGTCACCCTCGCCCCCTCTCTCTCTCTCTCTCTCTCTCTCTCTCTCTCTCTCTCTCTCTCTCTCTCTCTCTCTCTCTCTCTCTCTCTCTCTCTCTCTCTCTCTCTCTCTCTCTCTCTCTCTCTCCCTCCCTCTCTTTTTCTCTCTGTCGTTTCTCCCCTCGCACGGAAATCCCGGACAGTGTGTGCACCACAACCTCTTGTACGTAATGTCATATACCGAGTCCTTTTCCTCCGACCTGCCATCCACCTTCGTATCCTCACCCCCTTTCTCTCTCTCTCTCTCTCTCTCTCTCTCTCTCTCTCTCTCTCTCTCTTTTTCTGTCACTCACTCTCTATCTTTCTCACGCTCAGTTCCTCTCTCTCTCTCTCTCTCTCTCTCTCTGTCTGTCTGTCTGTCTGTCTCTCTTCCTCCTCTGGACCCGCGCCTCTTCCCAGTACGCTTATTATTGCGGCTTACGTCTTGCTTTGCATACCCATATCGGCTAAATACATGGCTTTAATAATGCATGAGCTGTGTGCCGAGCAGCGGCAGAAGAGGTGGCGGAAGGTTCCACACGGTGGTTCGGGGGGGTTTTCAGCTTCGGGGAATATCTCTCTCTTTCTCTCTCATCATTTTCTCTTTAGCCGCGTCTGTCTTCTTAGTCTCCGTCAGAATGACAATCTCTCCGCGGGATCTCTTCTTGGTTGCGGATCTCTTTTTCACTCGATTCTCTCTCGCTTACCTCCACATCACGTACACGTCACATTCACGTTATCACGCTCTCTCTCTCTCTCTCTCACTCACTCTCTCTCTCTCTCTCTCTCTCTCTCTCTCTCTCTCTCTCTGTCTGTCTGTCTGTCTGTCTGTCTGTCTCTCTCAGTTTCTAAATCAATCTGTCTCTTCTCCGTCACTTGTACTCTCTTCATCTCGTTCTCTACACTTTCTTGCGCCGTTTAAAGGCGGTCGATCAACGGCGGAACGTACACAGACGGCGCCCGGCACTATTGAAGAGTAACCGCCGAACGCGGCACACACAACACACGAGCGGAACTTTCTCCGGTGGCACGTGTTGCGAGCAACTCGGTCACGCCGCGGCGCGCCGCGAATTCTCCCGATCGCTGCTTTTCGGAATGGACGAAGCGAGGCGTGTAACGGCGGCTTCATCTCATGAAATTCAATCGAGGATCTTCGGCGCGGATCGAAGGATTTTGTTGAAGGACGACTTAAGAGCGCGCACCAAGTCGATCGCACGCTTTGCTACCCTCCCGCCGTTAATATGTAGTAGTATCGCGACGGCCACCCTCCCCCCCCCCCCGCTCCTCGTTCTCCGCCGGCTCGCGGCTCGGGTGTGCACTCTGTCGTCGAGCTGCGCGAATTCAATCCGCGATCGCGGGGAATCGACCGCTGATGACGCGTTCTCTCACGCCGAGAACGACGTCCGCGAGGGTCCGTCGCGAGAGTCCTCGGGAACGCGCGCGCGCTCCTCCCCCCGCGGTCCTTCCGCACGTTCCGCCTTGATCGTCGGCCGACGATCGACGAGAGAACCGCAATAACGGAAAAATGGGGATCCCTTAATAGCAGGTGGTACTTTGACGCCGCTCGCGCCACTGACGATGCAAGAACTAAAATTGAGCCAAACATTGGACGGGGCTAACATGTCTCCTTACCACACCACCGGTGAGTTCGCCACCTCTTTAGTTCTCTTACGGTCTCGCGCGCGTCCAGTCATGTACACCTGTTCCTTCCGCCGAGGCATATATATATATATATATATATATATATATATATATATATACGGCATTTTGAACGCCTGTCTCTCTCTCGGATGCGCGCGTGTCCAGCTAATATGTCCACATCTCGAGTGTGTACCGCAGCACGGCTCGAGTGTGTGTTCATGGTGTTAACTTCGCCGCGCGCGGGATCAAGCGCGGCGCGGTATCTTCCCCATGAGGATCCCTCACCCATTACCTCACGATAGCCACTTACTTATTTTATGTCCGACGAGCCGAAGACTTGTACGCGTTGAGCGCGTTGCAGCCGCTCTCTCTCTCCGCGGCGGCGGCGGCGGCGGCGGCGGCGGCGGCAAAAAGATAATGGCATACGTTTTCCTTCTCCTCGGTCGCTTTATCGCGCGCCGTTTTTACGCTCGGTCGGGCCCTTCAGGCTCTCGCATGCCTCTCTCCGATGACGGCGAAATTAACGGAAAGATAGTGGGAGTACTTTACGAGCAGCCCGGGCTTCAAAACTGTTGTCAAAGCTTCGGCTAGACGAGCTCTGCCAGAGCGCCTGCTCGACGCGCAACCAAGGCGTTTGCAAGCTCGAAGAAGAAGAAGAAGAAGAAGAAGAAGAAGAAGAAGAAGAAGGAGAAGAAGAAGAAGCGAAGAAGAGAAAGAAGGGGAAGGCTCGGGCAATTGCGCCGGACAATTCCGTCGCATTCTCGCGGGACTCGCGCAATTCCTCGCTCCCGGCTCCTCCTCCCTCGCCCCCGCTCCCGCTCCCCCGTATGTACCAGCCCCACCGAAACAGTTTAATTAAGCTTTAGACGTAAGGCGCTGATCGTTAGCTAGTGCTTGACTCGAATGTCGTGTTGTGTTGTGCATGGCCATAGCAGAGAGCAGTACCGTCGCAGTATCGTATGTAGGGGTGGGGGCCGGTGGGGGCGAGCAAAGTCCCCCGATTTCGTTGCAGAACGAGACAAACGCCACCCCCGCGGCCCCCAATACCTCCGGAGGGGATCCCGGACTGACGGTCTTGCAGCCGCCAGTTTCTCAGCCCCAGGTAGCCTCTGCGATACCGCCGTACTCGACGATGCTACCAAGTTTCGGACACTACGCTACCGGTGAGTACACCAACCAGAGAGAGCTTGCTTAATCACCGTACCACCCTGTACTCAAGGACACGCGCTCGCTCGCTCGCTCGCTCGCTCGCTCGCTCGCGTGTGTGTGTACCCTCCGTTGAGCCGGGGGAGGGGGGTTGAACCGGAGCCGGTACAGTCGGAGGGTAAGTCAGGGCTCTGTCTCGCGGAGCGCTGATTTACCGGTTCCAGGTGCTACCCGAACGTAGGTAGGTAGGTAGGCACTTCTTCCCGGGGACGACGCGTACCAATGGAGGATACCGCCGCGGAAGACGGTGTTATCCTTAGTCGACGCGAGAACGGCAGTCCTCCGTCGGGTAAAAAAAAAAGAAGGTATACGAATAAAATCGAACGTGAAACTCGACGTGGTCGCGAAGAAGATGACCCCCTTTCACCCCAGAAGAGGGAGACGAGTGGAAAACGAACGGTCGTTCTTCCACCCCGGCTCCGGCTCTGTTTGGTAGGGTTTGATCGCTAAAGCCCGACGTTCCTCGTCCTTCGTCATTGAGCAGCTGAGCAGCGGCGAGCGCGGCGCGGTCGTCGCGAGTCCGACAAGCAGCCCAGCGCCGAGTCAGCCTGACTCGGCCTCCAGTTTTCCAATCATTCATTCATTGAGAGACGCTAAACGTGCGACGCACGCCAGAGTGGCGGCGCTAACCAGCTTATCGTCGACTTTTGTCCAGGTGGTGGCGATTACGCGTACAGCGCTGCGTATTCCCAGTACTCGAGCGCGCCGTACAGCGGCTACGGTTATGGGGCGGCGACAAGCGGGTTGCTCAGTAAGTAAACAGTGAGTATGAGTACCGATTAGATCAGGGTCATCGAAGTGCGCGAGAGAGCGCTGGCCGGAAGAGAGCGAGGCGCAAGACGTGGCGAGAGAAAGAGAGAGAGAGAGAGAGAGAGAGAGAGAGAGGGGGCTCTTCTTCTCCACTCGCTCGTCTGCCCGCGCGCGCGTACGCGTACGCGAGACGGCGGAAGGGAGGGAAAGAAGCGCAAGAGGAGGGGTGCGAAAGGGAGAGGAACGCGCGCGCGGTTACGCTCGCGTGAGCCCCGCGCCATTCCCGAAGCGCGCGCGAGAGAGCCGAGGCGAGGCTCGTTAACGCGGCTCGCTCGATTCGATTCGTATCAGATAACATCGGACTAGTTCCGCAAGGAGTCACGTCGTCCATTCCCGGCCCGGTTTCTAATGTAGCGGCCGATTCAACGCTCCTCTGTCTTTCATAACGCAAGATCGCGCGGTGGCGGGGGAGGGGATAGAATAATAAACCGACTTTTTTTCTCTGCCGTATCGGACACGCGATACGTCGGCAACCGGCCGGCGCGGCGCGCTCCTTTGCATCACGTAACGCGGAGATCCGTTCGCGATATCGCAACGCAATCCCGCGGCCAACTTATTCCGCCGCGTTCTTCATACTCCGCGCCGACCGCGTCACGCGAGCCGCTACGATCGAACGCGAGAATTTGATAGATGATAGGCGCGCCTATCGCGGCAGGGCGCGATTTATGGCCACTTGGAGCATCGCGCCGCGACGACGCGAGCGACGGAGCTCGTTACGTCGCCGTTGGGAGAGAGGATCCGCCGAGGACGGCCGGGAACTTGGCGAATCCGTAGCCGCGACACAGCCGGGTCTCTCTCTCTCATCGAGATCCATCGTTGTACGCGCTCACGTTCGCTGTTCCAGCGAGGCTGACTTGCCGATGCGGTACGGACGAAGCTCCAGCCGAACCACAGACTTCTATAGAGGGTGCAAAATTTCGAACGTAATAGGTAAAAAATCTCGAAGAGTATGAAAGATATTAAGGAAAGCTAAAACACGTGTTCCATGATTTCCATGAAGGGGAAAGAGAATGGCATTATCAGTTTTTTATTTTGGAGCGCATTTCCAAGGTCAGTTGAAGGTCAACTTAATTTTTTTAAATAGAAAGCCCAATTTTTTATTACATCTTCTTTTTCTACCAATTAATTTTAACAACTTTTGTCCGAAACACTTTTTTATTTGCCTAATATTTTTTGAAATATTTAAGGACAACTTTGTAACTTTTTCATCATTTAACTTACGGTATCTCGCTAACTATTCGTCGAAAGAAAAAAATAGTATTAGACCTTTTTACTTTATTTACTGTCAAGAAAATATTACTATAATAGTGCCCTAACCTTTGTCAACTTATCGACCTTTGGAAATTTCAAAATTATTAAATTAACAAAAGTTAGGACACAATATTATAGTAATATATTCTTGAGATTAAACAAAGTAAAAAAAGTCTAGTACCATTTTTTCCTTCGGCAAATGATTAGCGAGATATCGCAAGTTAAATATTGGAAAAGTTATCAAGTTTTCCTTAAATATCTCAAAAAATATTAGGCAAATAAAATAATTTTTCAAAAGAAAGTTGTTAAAATTAATTGGTAGAAAAAGAAGATATAATAAAAAATTGGGCTTTGTATGTAAAAAAAATTAAGTTGACCTTCAACTGACCTTGAAAATGCCCTCCAAATAAAAGACCGATAATGCCGATAATTTTGTTTCCTCTTCGAAATCATGAAACACGTGTTTCAGCTTTTTTTTTTAATATCATTCATAGTTTTCCAGATTTTTTATCTGTTTGAAATTTAGCACCCTGTATAATACACTAGACTGCTAACTGCGTCCCTTTAACCGTTGCCAAAAAGTATGTACGATTTGCGCAGAATACGGACTAAGGGATGCGCAGTAAACAGTTTTATATACTTCTATAGGCGCGCTACCGTTTCGGCATGTTTTTCTGTGAGTATTTATTTACAATTTATATAAAAATTTAATAACAAAATTTTATAATTTGACATACCATATATATATTTTCCATGATCACGCGCGCACACACACACACACACACACACACACGAGTATTTTATTACTTACCGTAACTTTACCAATATTATTTTTCGCGATACGTATTTTTTTCTTAATTATAACTGATATTAAAAACATGTATCACATTCGGACACGTCTCATTGCAACGGCGATTACATATACGTATGTCACTTTGAAAGGTTAGGATCGCGTCCGTATTTTGCGCATCTGCTTCGCGTATTACACGTACATAGGCAACACTTATACATAAGGAGAACAATAGGAGTTAGCAGTCTAGTGTATTATATATAGAAGTCTGTGTGAGCCGAACCAACGCGTTTCTTGGAATATTTAACCCTTTGTCGCACGTTTCTTTTCTAATGAATATAATTTTGTGACACCCCTTACTGGGGAGTTCTTTTATGGTCGCTGAATACAAATCCGGCGTGAAAAATATAAAATTCAAAATGGCGGATACAATATGGCGGACGAACTTTTCAAAATCAGCCGAACTCGCTTGAAATTTGTTATTTAAGGGTATTCGAGGTTGCTAATTGCAAATTTATTATCGGAAATTCGAAATGCCAGAGCTATGACGGATATGTACGGCAAGGTTCGGCAAGGTTCGATTGACACCGGTCAGGTTGCTCGGTTCTCAAGCACAGTCAGCCTTTGTTCATTTCTATAATTATGTTCACCATGTAAGACCCGTTATTTTGAGTCTTGTATTTGTTATACCGGATTCGTGTTCAGCAACTTCAGAAACCCCCGAGTAACAAGTTTCAAGCAAATTCGAAAATTCTGGTTTTGAAAATTCTGCCCGCCATTTTGTATTTTTCACACCGGATTTGTACTCAGCGATCCCAAAAGTCTCCAGATAATGATTTTGAAGTACACGTTATTGCTTAAAATTTCATGTAAACGAATTTACTCTCTAAAAACGACAGTTTTATTCAACATATGCTTGTTAATAACAAATTATTTATTTGAAATGTCTCTAAAAGTTGATGTATTAGAGGAACATTTTGGTAGTCCAACCAAGACCAAATATGCTAAAGAAATCCATGAAAAATTTAAATTACTGGAAAAACAAGCTTGGATGATAGGTGACACTCTGGGAGGACCACTGATGCAACAAAGGGTTGATGAAACATTGTTCGTCTTAAGGGGGGTTAACATTCTGAGTGAACGCCTGAAAACACAGAGTAAATTTGGGAATTTTTTGTAGTTAAATAACAACATAGATGGAAAATTGGTGCATACCTTAAATTACACAAAACAATTTTTTGTTATTATTTTGCCTCAAGGTGGCGGCGATGAAGCTTTCCAAGTAAAACCACGTTTCTCGAATTGGCTTGCAGCGGAACTTCAACAAATTTCATCCGATCCACTCGAAATTTTTACAGCAGCTGCTAAACTAAATTCTCTAGAGAAGTACACATGATTTTTGCGATCGGTTTAAAAGTTTTGTTACTATAAATATTTTTTCACTGAATTTCTTGGATAAAACAGAAACTTTTTTTCCTAATGTTCACCATTTCTACAAAAATCCATATTTTTACATATACGTGTGTACTTCTCTAGCAAATTTAATGTAGATTAACAAAAATTTTGCCTTTCTGGCCTTTTTGAAAGTGTACGGTATTTCTGCTGCAAGCCGTAGGGTTGCCCATGAGTAAAATGCGGTTTTACCTGGAGAGCTTCAGCGCCGCCATCTTGAGGCAAAATAATAACAAAAAATTGTTTTGTGTAGTTTAAGGTATGCACGTTAGAGGCCTTCGAACCAATTTTCCATCTATGTTGTCATTTAACTACAAAAAATTCCCAAACTTACTCTGTGTTTTCAGGCGTTCACTCAGACGTTACCCCTTAAGGTAACGAGTCCCTTTTCGCTTCGTTAACGGGGTAGCCGACGATGAATCGCTGCAGCACTACGAGCTTGCCAAGTGCTGACTTCTCGCGATGGCCGAAAGCTTCGAGACCCGCCGCGCGTCAACCGGTCCAGCACTCGCCTCCCTTCCGCGGGTGGAGAAGCATGAGTCGCGTCGCGGACAGTCGCGGGCTCGAGAGAGAGCGCGACGTTAAGCAGGGTGTCGATGGTCCAGGCGGGACGGCGGCGGAGCCCGCGAGACTCTGCGGCCGCGATGAACGCGATCGTCTCCTTCTCTCGTTGCAGACTCCACGTACTACTATTGCAACGGGGACACGTCCACCCACACGTCGCAGCAGGGCGGCGGCTGCAGCAGCGGTGGTCCGGAGAGCAGCGCCGACGTGGCCAGCCGGTCGCCTCTGGCGGCGACCAGAGCCAGCAGCGGTGCCAGCGCGGCATCGCCGACCGGGAGCGCCTGCACCAAGCCGGACCACACGTCCACGCCGACGGACCTCTACCTGGCCTGATGGTCGAGCAACAACCGCACGGGGGACCGGCTGCCGGGGCCGAACGGGCCAGCCGGCTGCGACAACGGGCGCCATATCACGAAGAGACAGAGCATGTCGAGGCGATGAAGCAATGATCTCTTTCCCAGCGGCTCCGGGAACTCGTGTTCTCGGCGGACCCGGTGACGGCGGCTCCCTGCGGCCGCCACCGAGCAATACTCAACCGCGCGAGAGCAACGCGCCAAGATGGCGCGATCACCTGGCGAGCGTCCTCCGCGCCGGCGGAAGCTGAAGCGCTGGATCAGTGATTGGTCTCCGGGCCGGGGGAACTCCGACGAAGATTCCAGCTGAGTGGCCGCGCGCGCGCGTGCGCGCGCGCGCGCGGAGGCTTTCGAACTCGACCGCACTCTCTCAGGGTGCTGCTACTGCTGCTGCTGACGGCGGCGGTGGTGGTGGTGGTGATGGTGGTGGTAGTGGTGGTGGTGGTGATGGTGGTGGTGGTGGTGGTGGTGGACGACAGAGGACTCGGGCCATCGAAGGTGACTCGCGGGGACGACGAGATTTTCGGTACGGTAATGGTGAGAGCGTGGCGCTCGACGACGCGCGAAAGCGCGTGAGAACTCGACTTTGCCGTTCGTCCGATTGCGTCGCGTCTCTGCGCTTTATTTATTTGCTGTGATCCGAGGGGAGACCACCACACCGTCAAGACCCACGAGAGCCGAGAGAGAAGAGGAAGAGCCGGCCGCGCGTCGGGGAACGGCACCTTGCCGCCGCCGTCGCCGCCGCCGCCACCGCCACCGCCACCGCCATCGCTCTTCTCGGCGAGCGCGCGCGCGCGCGTCACTGCTAGGTAGTTTAATTTCATGATCCTCAGTTAGCGTCATTTTCACGCGATGGTCGCGACCGCCCTCGCGAGCGCCGTCGGCGGCCCGGCGAGTCGGCGCGCGCGACCATGTAAATATATATAAATTGAATATATATAAATAAGAGCAAGAAGAATTATATATATATATATATATAATATATATATGTATGTAATATTGTATATATAATTATATATGTGATATATATAATATATATGAATTATATATATACTATATATAGTTATATACGTAATATAAATATATATATACATATATATAAATATATATGGCCGGTGTAATAAAAAGTCAAACGCCCCGATGGCACGTTTTTCTCTCCCGTAGGCACGACGACTCCCTATCCTGCCCGCCCACCACCCCCTCCCTCTCTTTAAGAAAATATCGTAGAGTAACTCGATAAGTTTGAGATTTTTAAATCAGGAGTCGACGTAACGCGATCACTATATATTGTTAAGGATATTATATATATTTTTTGTAGAAACCAAAGACCATACGCGCGAGTAAAACCCAGAACACACACACACACGCACACACACACACGCATACGTCTATCTCTTTTTCTCTCTTTCACACACACACACACACACACACACACACACACACACACACACACACACACACACACACACACATGTACACGCACACGCACGCGGGCACGCATACGCACTCACGCACGCACGCACGCACGCACGCACCGACACGTACACACATATACGTACAGGACGAAGGCACATCGTCGAGCGAACGAGGCAGAAGCGCCGAGAAAGCTTCGAACCGGCCTCGAGCGGCCGCGCTCTTCAGCGCGGAGATAGGCAAAACGCGTGATCGCGAGCGGCGTGCAGGATCGACGATCTACGGGCGTATCGCCGGATGTCGCGTGTTATTATTATCATTATTCCGGAAGGATGTCGCGGCTCCGGGGAGGACGGAAGGAAAGAGCGAGAGAAGGCAAACGGACGGCGCGAGAGAAAAAGACTCGTTAGCTGGAGGAATCCGCATTTTCACCCGTGCTTTCTACTTAACGACGTTTTAATTTCGAACGCAGCCGCCTTCGCGTTGCGTGAGGTAAGTACCGCGTGATCGCGGCACCGTTGTTGAGCAACGTTCTCTCCTTCTCCCTCCCACCCCCCCTTCTCTCTCTCTCTCTCTCTCTGTCTTTCTTTTGTCTCTTTGTTTCTCCCGTCTCTGTTATTCGTGCAATTAGCGCAGGCCGACGCGTGGACACTTCCTCGAGCGGCCGGCGATCGCGCTTGTTCCGTTCGACGCCTTCGCGCTTCCGCCTCGCGGCGGAAGCCGTGTCGCTTCCCGCTCGCCGTCGCCGGGCGGAACGCGCCGCCGCGCCGGCGAGATTACCGGCGAGGCGCAATTAGCGCGCCGGGCCCCGGGGCTCTTTAATGAGAAATTGCACGCGCGCGCACGTTCTCTGATTTAACAATCGCGTTAATCATTGATGCCTCGGCACGCGCTACCAATTTCATGCGTCGCGAATCCAGCAGGCAGCCAGCCAGCAAGCCGACTGGCCGGCTGGCGGAATGAAGCTGAGTAGAACGGAAACAGCATCGCGATGCTCTCGAAGCTCGGCCGGCAGGCGGCGACTGAATTCGCGCGCTCGGAATCCTGCGAGATTTCGCGTGCGGACGTGTTGCAGCACTCCGGAAAACGCGAATCATTCCTTCAGCGGAGCGTTACGGAGGATCAGCCGAAGTGGACCGAATCGTCTGGCGGTGGCTCGTTGATTCTCTTACAGTTAGCGTATAAATATTTACGCGTCTGCAGTTCTTCCAGCTGACTTTGATTAGTCCGCGACCGCCTCTTTCTCATTCTTTCCTTCCTGCCTCTCGTCGCTCTAACGATTCCTCCTCCATTCGGCGACGCCGAAGAATCACTCCAGGATCGTCGTCGATCCGAAGCGCGCTCGCGAGCAGCCCAGAGCGAGAAATAATCATCGTCACCGAGCCGATCGGCTCAATCCCCGAAACTCTCGCGCGATGCTCCGTCCGTGTCGATCGTCACTCGTCCGATAATTAGACCGCGTCATTAGCCGCCAAGGTCGAGCGTCTCGTCTCCGGCGTCCGCGTCGCGCGCCCCGCGTAGCGAGCGAACTCACCCTTCGCCCTTCGTCAACCCCGCAAGGATCGAATCAGCGTGGCACGATCGCTCTGCGAAGAGACCAAGAAATGACCGAGGGACATTCTCAGCGCGTGCTTGCACCAGGTACACGCTGAAGGGTGTTGACCACCTCGGCCACGGCCATCGGCCGCGAGATCACCGCGTCGGATGCTCGGTACGATTATCCCGCGACTACAATCGATATTACTGCGTACTTATGCATTGTTATTTTATTACTATTACGTAGCAACGACGCTGATTATCAATTCTTATTCTATTTGCTATTTTCGCTATTTTCATTATCACGATTATTTTATTATTATTATTATTATTATTATTATATTATATTATATTATTATTATTATATTATTATCGTCATCATTATTATATATTATTATTATTATTATTATTATTTAATGCCTTTATTATTTATTAATTGTAACGACGACCTATGTGTAATAAGTTTTGCCAAAGAACCCGTCGAGAGAGCAATATTGCAGTGAAAAACATTTCGTAGCCTCTCCGTAGGAGGGGAAGCGGTCGATGAAGCACGATCAGAAATGTGGAATTGAGTATGCGGAGGGGAGCAAAAGAGGAAAAAAAAAGAAAGACACGAAGAGAAAAACGACTGTGCGCGGCGTCCCGAGCGATGGGCGAGACAATGCGAGGTAGAGAAATCGTCCGCGCGAGTCGCGAGTTCGCGAGATTTCCACTCGGACGCCGCGGCCGCGCATTTTTGACCGAACAAACACGCACACGTACATCCGCCCGACCCAACCACACACACACACACACACACATACAAACACATTTACACGCGATTATCTCATTTTATTTCATCGTTTGTCCCGTGTGATATTCTTGTTCCGTGCGCCGCTCTTGCCGAATCTCGCTGTTGATACTTGCAAACAGAATTCTGTACATCCTTTTTAAATAAATATGAGGTTTATATGAGCTCCCTCTTGTTGTATCTTTCTCCTTTCCCACACAATTCTTTACTTCTCCTTGCGCAAGATGCACGATTCGATATCAAATTGAGAAGCTGAAATTAAAACCGAGGGCCGTGCAAGTTCCACTCTGAACCTTTCGTTCAAATCGTCTAATATTATTATTATTATTATTAGCTTTCCTTAGATGAATTTCGCGAAAGTGGAAAAAGATGAATTTCCAAAAGTTGAGCAGTGTCGTTGAAACATATATATACACATATGAAGCAACAAAATATATCGGATAAATGTAGTTTATAACGATAAGTTATGTAATGTGTAAATAATACTCTGTTTCGGTCATCCTTATTGATTTGACGATAATTCGCCATCGAAGAAAGTGACCACAGGAAGTGACCAAGATGAAATATTTCAAAGTTTTCGTAGAACCGTTAAACAGAGCGACCCCCGAAAAACTCTAAGGGGACTGGAGAGTCAGATTGCTGAAAAATCGTGCTTGTTTTTGACAATATTTTGCGATGAACTGAATAAATGTGCAAGATTGAAATTTTTAGGTATATTTATGCAACATGTGAAGAGTAGAAAAATTTTGTTTACTAACAAATACTCATATAAATATACGATATATATAGCTGAGATATACTCTCCTTTTTTTTTTCAAGTTGTCGTTTTTGCAGTAATGTCTCGGCTCTCGGTGGTCCGATCAGAGCGAATTTTAGCTAGAAATCTTAAGGAGGCTTATCATTATCCGGTGAAGCACTAGAAAAAAAAAATCGAACAAAATTAACAAAATGGCAGCTATTATTAGGAAAAAATTCAAATTTTTCAGTTCTTTTGCAATAAAGAAATTAATCTCGAAATGAAATTTTTTGACGGAGTTGTCCATGGTTAATCCGAGAGCCAGATGAACAAATATTATTGCTTTAAAATTTCAAATCGATACGAGGCTCAGTTTCGGAGAAATCATTGCAAAAAGTTGAACAACAAAATTACGAGAGAAACGCGTTTAAAATTTAAGTGGACGTATATTTACATGAGTATTTGTTAATAAACAAAATTTTTCTACTCTTCATATGTTATTTATAAATATATGTAAAATGTTCATTCTTGCACACTTTATTCAGTTCGTCACATTTATTAAATTTTCACATTTACATCGTCACATTTATAAAATATTATCAAAAAACAAGCACGATTTTTCAGCAATCTGACCCTCCAGTCTTCTGAAATCGCGCCAGTTTTAGAGATATTCAGCTGCTAAGAATATCAAAACGCTACTACGTTATTGTGTTTCGCGGAGGATCGAACATCACATTATCATAAAATATTTCATAGAGTCGTACACACACCGCGATGTCTGCATACATTAAATATCACTCACAGTGCAATTATCGCATTACGGAGCATATCGATTTACCATGCCGTGTGAAATCAATCTGGCCTGCAAGGTAATAATAACATTGAACACTTTAATAAAACATGATATACCGTGAAAATTGCGCGTTCGCGGAGAAACATCGCATGCAAAAACGAGCAGTCGCCGCAGGGCGATCCTCTTTTTGTCGAGGAGCGGTTTATCCTCGACTCGCGGCGAAACCTAGAAACATCGCGAGCGAAAGAGTTTCGGCGGGTTTCTCCGAAGTCACTTTCTCATCCATCTCCCTCATGATTGTGAGATGACATTGAGACCTGCTCAGATATCGCGCGTACTCTTGTATCGCGATAAGAGTTCGATACGACGTCGACGCGAAAGCCGAGCGCGATAACGTGAGACGTGAGATGAATCGCTCCGCGGCGCGAAGCAAAAGACGCAATTGCCGCGCGAGTCCTGTTAGGCTCACAATATCACGGCACATTCTGAAACGTTCGCAAAGGTGCTCCCTGCGGCATCTAGTCTCAGCCACGCGCACCGTTGCTCGCAGACCGCCGCAGAACTCGACGGCAACGTATCGCCGGACGAGAAAACGCGCGCGCGCGGTCTCTCTTTTATCGGCGCGTTTGATGTGCCGCGCGGAGAGAAACGCGACTCGCGTACCACCTGCGTTATCCGTCCAGGATGCTCGGCTCCCATCGGTCGGACAGGATTGGCTGCAGGATCGGTACGCAGCCTCGCCTCGCGATATCGACGCTGGGCAAACTAATTCGTGCCTCGTGACGAATCGTTGCTACGTTGCTTAATAATGTACATATCTGCACGTTGCGGAGAATGGAAACACTTACGTATATATAAATAGATACGCCGTGCTCGTCTCCTGCCCTTTATATTAGCACAATTATATGAGATATTATAATTATATAATTATGTAACATAACATGTGCGTGGCTGTGATCAACCGGGAATCCCGCCGCGCCTCGGGGTCGCACGGTCGCCTGGAAAATGCGCGCGAGTGGACTTCACTTATTGTAGACGTAACTCTCAGCACCGCCGCGTCCGAAACCTGCAATCACACAGTGACGATTATCTTATCGTACGACTTATCGTATCCCCTCGCACTGGAAGCGCCGCGCGATCCGCGAAGCGAACGTGGGAGAAGGAGGTGAGGGAAGATATAAGGACGCAACGCGAGAATCGCCGCACAGAGGGAGGGAGAGAGAGAGAGAGAGAGAGAGAGAGAGAGAGAGAGAGAGGCGGGACGCGGGTATTAATTGAATATACATTAAATGCGAGTCGACGCGGTGTTTGCGCGAAGGCTCCTGAATACGAAGCAGTTTTAGGGGAAATCAGAGCTCGGCGAAGATTCCGATTTACCTCCTGGACCGAACAGGGCTGAATAGCAAGGGTGATTGCAGTAAGGCTTCCCTTCGTGCTCGGCATGACTCCCGGGTGTTAGGGTCTTATTGCATTTCTCGCAGCGTAAACACGAACCGTGCCAATCTTTGCCTAAGGATGTCTTCCTCTCGGCTGCAACACAAGATGAATGTTAACGCGCCGCGCGCCAACGTAAAAGGCAGCTCGCCGCGCGCGCGCGCGCGCGCGCGAAGCGTCTCTGCAGCGTCGCGGCGCTTTGCGCGTGAAATTTTACGTTGCCACGGTAATCACAGCGCGCTCCCGCGTCTCGTCTCCCGCTTCGCGCTGGTGTGATCTGTGCGAAGGAGATGGAAATTAGCGAGCACGCGTGTTGACGGAGGGGGGCAGAGGGGTGCTTCAGGAAGCGGAGCCGGGCGACGTGGAGCGACGCTTCGAGAATAAAACGAGATCAGCTGAAAGAGGGAGGGAAAGAGACATGAGAGAGAGAGAGAGAGAGAGAGAGAGAGAGAGAGAGAGAGAGGAGTGATTTCACGTGGGGATGTTACATCATGCTCGTCGGTGTCGCTTGTTCTCGATCGAAGCGGAAGAGCAGGCCCCATGCGAGTTGCATCAGCCGAGTCGCCGCGCCGCGACGGTTGCCATTCCATTAGCAATTTCGTAATTAGAAAATCCAATGCCGGCGGGTCCCGATGGACCCGATCGATGCGCGTCTGTCATTCATTAAAGGCGCGAACGCGAAACGTCCTCCGGCCGCGTCGCACAAAAGCGACTTCGCGCCGTCGTCGGAGGGGGGGGGGGGGCGGGTACAGATTTTGCGAAAAGATGATCCTGGCGAGAGGATCGCGACGTGTGCAAGCGCGGCGACTCGTATTATGCGTCCCTCCCTCCCCCCTCCCCCTGTCGCTCCGCCAATCCCCAGATGCATTTACGAAAATTGGCGTCGAGACGGCGGAGGGCGGGGGGGGGGAGGAGGAGGAGAGGGGTGCAGGGGAGATATTGAGAATCTTGCGGCGTTTCCCGACGACTGTCGAGACTACTTGTCGAATCCACGAGTCCCGCTTTCTCTCTATTCTTCAGCGCGAAATTTGTCTCGCAGATGCAGCGCCGCCACGCTCTCTTAATGCCTCGCGACGACGAACGACGCGGTCCATTAGCGGAGACTTGAGCGTTGAAAACAAATTGATTCAGTCTGCATTGGCGGCCTTCAATACGCCCGTCTGGATAAGATCAAGCGCAATGATAAAAATAAACGTCTGCTTGTGAGATACGCCGGCTGTTATCGACTACACGGCGAAACTATGCCGCGCGCGCGAGAGTGCAGCACGTTTCTTTTTCGCCGCTTGTCGTATCAGCGAGCTTCCTGTTGGCCTTTCATTGCCCTCTAATACCATTATTCGAGGCTATAGCTCGTTCGTCGCCGAGCGACTCGACAAAAAAGCTCGCGAAAGACCGCGCGCGCGCGCGCGCGCCCGCGCGACTATATACTCCTTTCCGCCGTTGCGTCGCGGCGGCGCATCATCATGCCATTACGGCGTATCAAACCTCGCGGGGGAGACAAAAAAGAGCGAGCGAGAAGGAGAGAAAGAGGGGGAGGGGGAGGAAAGGGGAGAAGGAAGAAAGAAAGGCAAGAACCGCAGAGCGGGCTGGTGGTTGCATTCAAACGCTCCAGCGTGTCTAAGAAGGAGCACAAAGAGAGCGGTAGCGCCGGTGAGGGAAATTGGAAAATGACGAGACGAGCGTGGTGGATGCATCGGCAAGGAAAGGGTGCGTCGGTGAAAGCGAGATGCAGCAGGGAGCGCGGGGGGGGGGGGGTGCGCGACGCGCACCGGGGGAAGGAGAGCCGGCGGAACGGAACGGGAGACGGAGCGAGAGCGAGAGCGAGAGAGAGAGAGAGAGAGAGGGCGAGAAAACGAGAGGACGTGTTCGGTGTTTCGCGGGTAAGAAGGGTACGCGCATAAAGGGCCATTAGTTAATTAACTCCTAATTATCTGGCGACGGAGAAGCGAGTGCATAATCGTCAGCGGCGTCGGCCGCTGCGCAGTGCGCCGGCAGCGCGCGAAAAGGCAGAGACAGTGCCGTGAGCACGAATCGTTGCGCCCGGCCGCCAAACAATCGGCCCCGCCGCCGCTGATTGTATAGGCCCTCGGAAACATCACCCCCCTCCCCCCCCCTCCGCCCTTCTACCCTGCCGATCCCCCGCTCGCCCGTCGTGCCGTTCGTTTTTCTTTTCTTCGACGAAGATCATCTTCCCCTCCCCCCTCCCCCCGTCCCTCACCCACGCCAGGCCATCCCGCTCCGCTCGCTCTTTTCAAACCACCGTCGTCTGCCCCCACCGCCCCCCCTCCTTCTGCGCCCCCCTCGCCCAGCGAAAACCCCTCGATCTCGCGGCGTGTTCTCGCTCTCGCTCGCTTTCTTTCCCTCTTTCTCTTCCACGGCCGCTGCGGGGGCGGCGGGAAACGAGCGCCTGTCCTCTCCTCTCCTCTCGTCTGGGCTCGTCTCGTCTCGTCTCGTCTCCTCGCGCGGCTCCCCTCCTCCTCCCACCTTTCCGCACTACCACGAGACCTGGCCATTCTTCTGCAAACCTGTTTCGCGTCTGTGTTCTTCTTATTAGTACCCGCGCGATACACCGGCTACGGTCTCCTTTGTTGTCGTCCTCGCGGCCGGACACTTTATTGTTGTTGCACTCGGCGCGCAACGCGACTTCGCCCCAATGTGGTTTCCCTCGCCCATCCACCCCGGCGCCCTTCGTCGCGATTATTCTCGATCCCGCTCTTCCTTTCCCCCTCCCCCCTCCGCTTCTTCCCGCGGAAGAGCGCACGCCGTGATTTCGTCGACGAAACACGTGTACAGACCGGGGGGGGGGGGCCGGGAGGAATCGATACGAGCGAGATGGTGTACTCGCGACGCGCGTCGGCCGGAATCAATCAATCACCCGATCGCCGTGTACTCGCCTTCGGTGTACGCGCGCAAAAAAAATAGGGGAGAGAGAGAGGGGGGGGGAGAGAGGGCAAAGTTACCGAGCAAATATAGACAAGCGAATGCAAGCGCGAACCCGACGCGCTGAGCGCGCGCTAAAGAGTTCGGCTCGATGACTCGCGCGTTTCCGAGCGTTTTACACGGAAAGGGAGTGTCTCCATTCTCCGGAGCACGGCATCGTTATGACATTCACCCCGTGCGCGCTTATTCGCGCCGCATCAAAAACACACAGTCAGCCCGATGGCATTAACGGGCTGTAAAAGAGCGAGCGCGCGAGGCGGGCCGGGCTCAATTACAAAAATACGCGCCAATGCGAAACTCGCGCGCGCGCTCGCGAGTTGATCCTTTCAGTCTTCGAGGCTTCATTTCATATCAACGGAACGGCTGCGGGAGATTTCTCTCTCTCTCTCTCTCTCTCTCTCTCTCTCTTTCTCGGCGCGTTTCCTCTCGAGCGCGCCAATGTCGCAATTCGGGCGCGCGCTTATCCGACTGTATTATACCGATTGTTTATCTACAAGCGGACACAACTGCCGATGAGCAACCTGGACGTCGCAGAGATAACGTTATCGTCCGCCTCGCCGACTACCGCGTTACAAGGCGCGCGTGCGATACCAAGATGCATTTGCAAGCGGCTCGCGAGGTCGCCTCCTTGTTCCTCGAGAAGCGTCGTCTGATAACGGTCGGCCGCTTTTCCGAGCGCGGTCGCGAGAAGAGCGACGAGTTTGGCAGCGCGACTCGTTCGCGATTTCATTGAAATCCGCGACGGCCTCTCTCTCTCTCTCTCGCGCGCGCGCAGGTGCGCGCAGGTTCCGTCGCAGGACGGAGTGGATTAGTCATTCACTCTGCTCGTAGTAAACGTCGAAGCTGTACACGGCGAGACGAACTGACATAATATTTGCCGAGAGATGGAACCCGAGGTCGTTCAATGATATCACTGATGTCGTCACCGCGCGCGGCTTTAGCAGTTCGAGTGCTATATTTATATGTCCGGCCGAGCGTCCGTGTCACGTTCGCCTTTTTCGAGCAATTCGCGAGCCTCACCTTCAGGTGAGGAAACCGCGGGAGCGACGTTCCCCGTTCAGCGAGATTTACCGTTAACGAAGATAACCCGAGAGACGCCGAGCACAGCGAGATCCAACAACGGCCTGGCGAAATTGCGCCGTCGGTAGATTGCGCGTTTTGTCTATCAAGTACATCACAACACCCACCGTGTCCTCCGGGAAAACGGGACCGATAACAGAGACAATGGGGGAGGAGGGGAGGGGGGATATATAGCTTCACACTCGCTCGCACTGGACTCCGCGATCGTCCAAAGTCGTTTTTCCACACGCATGACGTAAGCCGTCTTACGTGGCCGCGATATTATCATATTAACAATACAAGATATACTCAACGCAACCACTCCGGCGGTTGCCGCTTCGACCGAGGCAACATAAATAACCTATCGCGTCACCGCCGGGACGTGTCCTGCTCCCCGCTCGCGGCCGGCGCGAGCAGGAGAAAACGACGCAGCAAGGAACCCGAGGTGCACAGGTCGTGCTCGATTAGCGCGAGTCGAGGCGTCGAGCCGCGCTAATCGAGCCCCGATGCTTATCATTCGGATACGAGACCGCGGCATTCTCGACGCCGCGGCGAGCGAGCTTCGATCGCGACGGTATTCTCGATAAAATCGCCGCGTATCGGCGCGCCATCGAGAATCCCCGCGGACCCAGCAGCGTTCGATCGATCGGCCGAGTCGATCTGCGCGACAATATCGCATCGCTCAGCACTCTTACCGAAGTACACCGGCTTGTCGCACTTGGGGCAATTCGGCATCTCGCTGCGGCGGCGGCGGCGGCGGCGACGGCGGCGGCGACGGCGGCACCGTAAAGCAAATCCGGCACGGTAAAGCAACGCTCCGACGCTGTGCGTGCGACGACTCTGACGGAAGGATGCTCTCGGCAGCGTGGTCAGACGCGTACTGGCCCTGAGAGAGGCCGGCAAGGTAACGCGACGCTCTCCAGTTGATTGAGCGTGTGAACGTGTGTTAAGGCTGCACGCGCGAGTACGCGCCGAGGGGGCCGACCGTCAAGCTCGAGCACGCGGCCCGAATGTTACCTGCCGCTCGTCCAGAGTTATGCAACACGCTGCGCGAACGAGCGCGTACCTGCGCCTGCGGCCGCCGGCGAGTGCACGTGCACACAAGGTGTCTCCTCGCTCGCCTGCCTCTCTCTCTCTCTCTCTCTCTCTCTCTCGAGACTAAAGATTCACCGAGGAACCCGAGGAGGCTCTCGGCCTGCCGAAACAAGCAGCCCGCCGCCAGCGCGACGCCATTGCTTCCTCCCCGGCCAAGTCCCCCCCCCCCCTTCGCACGGGGAGGTCCTAGAGAGGCGAGAACGAGCGGATGGTATCAAGCGGGACACCCTGTATATGGCGGACTGCGCCGCGACTCCGCGTAACGGCTTCGTCCGGCAGCCCGCTCGTTACTTTCTTCGGACGCGCCGGGATAATCCCGTTAGCTATTGTCGACAAATTCGCGCGGTGGAAAGCGCGCGCGGGCGGACGCGAAAGCGGCCGGAGACACGATGAGACACGCGGTTGATGAGCATTCAGATCGATAGTCGGTTATGCGCGAATAACGGAAGCGGCGCGCGTATCGAGGATGCGGAATGCGCGACGCGCGAGCTCCGGAGGTATTTACTCATAAAACTGCAACGCGATGCCCGCGAAATTAATTAATTATCGGAATTTAGGTCGGGGCTACGCGGTGCAGCGCGACGCGGCGCAGCCGGAGGCCGATGCGGAAAATGCTGCTGCTGCGAATTTTGGAATTTATTTTAACGGGATTACAAATATACGCCCGGTAGTTCGCTACTGTGCGTAAAAATTTCAACGTTCGCTCTCGCAGTCTTTACTTTTCGTAATGTACACACGCGCGCGCGCGCGCGCACGCTCGCGAGCGAGCGAGCGAGCGAGCGAGCGCGCTCGCGCCTGTGCGCGCACGTTAATACGCATAAGCGAGATGTTTATCCGCTTAATAGCAGCTGTGTAAACAGCGAGCGTTTGAAAATCAGAGTCCGTATAATTACATGTCAATTAGATATTCGCGAGCTACGGAACACGCAAATTAACGGGATATTAAAGCGGAGTCGTCTCGGAATAAAGAGCGCGACCGCAATATCCGTCCGCGTTACTTCCGCTTGATAACGAGGCGTCAGCGCAGTCACCGTCGCCGGCCAATCACGCGCGAATAGTCGTCCGCGAAGAACACCGCGAGAGAGTCTCTCCCGGGCCCGTCGTCGAGAGAGCGACGGAGAAGATGCCACCGATGCAAAGGTTTGCGGAGGCCGCGATGAGGGAACGCGACCCTGACCATGTCGCTCTCATGTCCGCCCTCGAGAACGGCGAGCTCGAGCGGGCGGCCGAGATCTTGGCGCGCGACAGTCAAAATAAGTATATCCAGCCGATAGGCGCGCTCCAGGTGACGGCCTTGCATATGGCCGCGTGGCAAGGAAGGATCGACCTGTTGGATCTGCTCTACGTCAAGGGCGCCAACGTCAACGCCACGGATAAGATCGGCAGGGGCGCCCTTTATTACGCGGCGTACTGCGGCTACGCCGACGTCACCCGCTGGATCCTCCAGCACGGAGGTGACACCCAAGCCAAAGTCGGCGTCAACTCGTGCACTAAGGACCTGTACAAGTCACCGCTCGTGAAATCCAGCTTCATCGGCAAAGTTGTTCGTAGCCCTCCGAGCACGCGGCCGCCGTGTTTTGTTGTGACGGGGGAGGGAGGAGCCGGAATCATCGAGATGCGCAATTCGGGACCTTCTTGTTGTCTCTTCATCTCTAAATACGAATGTTTCAGTGCCTTTAGCATGGGATGTGTGTACATCCTGGTCCTGTCAAATATTTCACGGTCTTAAGATGGCGGATATATAGGGTGCTAAATTTCAAGCGTAGCGGCTAAAAAATCTCGAAAGCCATGAAAGATATTGAAAAAAGGTTAAAACACGTGTTCCATGGTTTCGAAAAGGAAACAGAATGGCATTGTCAGTTTTTTATTTGGAGGGCATTTTCAAGGTTAGTTGAAGGTCAACTTAGTTTTTTTAAATGGAAGGCCCAATTTTTTATTATATCTTGTTTTTCTACCAATTAATTTTAACAACTTTCGTTTGAAACATTTCTTTATTTGCCTAATATTTTTCGAGATATTTAAGGAAAACTTGATAACTTTTTTTCAATATTTAACTTACGATATCTCCCTTGTTTATTTGTCGAAAGAGAAAATGGTACTAGACCTTATTTAATCTCAAGAATATATTACTATAATAGTGCCCTAACTTTTGTTAATTTAATAATTTTGAAATTTCCAAAGGTCGATAACTTAACAAAAGTTAGGGCACTATTATAGTAATATTCATGATAGTAAAAAAAGTAAAAAAGTCTAATACTATTTCTTCTTTCGACGAATAGTTAGCGAGATATCGTAAGTTAAATGATGAAAAAGTTACCAAGTTTTCCTTAAATATTTAAAAAAATATTAGGCAAATAAAAAAGAGTTTCAGGCAAAAGTTGTTAAAATTAATTGGTAGAAAAAGAAGATATAATAAAAAATTGGGCCTTCTATTTAAAAAAATTCTGTTTAAAAATTTTATTTGAAAAAGTAAGTTGACCTACAACTGACCTTGAAAATGCCCTCCAAATAAAAAACTGATAATGCCATTCTCCTCCCCCTTTAAAATTATGGAACATGCAACTCGTCTTTTAGATTTTTTTAATATCTTTTAATATCTTTCATAGTTTTCGACATTTTTTACCTATTACGTATGAAATTTAGCACCCTATATATTGCGATGGCAGAATAATCCATTCCCGAGGTATTTCAAAGTCAATTTCAAGATGTTGCGGGTCGTTTCTCGTACGACCTTTCGAATTCTTCAACCTCGGTTGGAACCTCGAATCATATGACGACCGCATCGTTGTCCGATGCACAATGGTAGATAAATATAAAATTCTCTGGAGATAAATGGGGCGTCCTGATGAGGTCGACTTGAACACAAGAGTCATGAATCATCTTGTGCACAAAAACTGTGTACAATTCCGAGTTATTAAACAGCGCGATGAATGATTGCGCACAACGTCAATCTTCTTTGATCACATAGTTCCGAATTTTGCGTGATTCCTTGCGAAGTGCTGGACAAACCACTTCTTCAGTTTCACACAATAAAGTCTGAAGAATGAAAGTATCTTTAAAGGCCCAAACGATAGGAATATCCAGAGTCACGTGGCGCCATGTCTCAACCGACAGGACTTGACCTCTGCCTCAAGGAGCAAAAAAAAGAGACAGAGAAAGATTTCACTTTCCTCGCAACAAAACACCACGGCGTGACAAGACGTAAAGCGCGACGTGCCACGTTCCCTTTCCTCGTGCTTTCAGTTACCGTTACCGGTGTGCTGGGGGAGAACACCGTTGCACCAGGCGGTGAAGAACAACCACGCCGATGTAGTGCGCCTTCTGGTGGAAGCCGGCGCGGATGTGAACGCCAAGGACGAGAACTTGGTCAGCCCGTTGCTGTTGGCGGGAAGCGCGGTGAATCGCGACGACAGTCAGGAGATGGCCAAGTTCGTCGAGATCATCAAGACCCTGGTGTCCGGGAAGGCGTTCGTCAACATCATTCATCCGGACACGGGTATGAAACGCGCGGAGCGTGTATCGTTGCCGTAATCTCTAGAGTCCGATTCACACGAAGCGACCGCCTTCCCTTTCGTCAGGTACCACAGCTTTGCATCACGCAGCGGGGATAGGCAGCGCGGAGGCGACAAAGTTGCTGCTGACGAACGGCGCCTGGCCGATGTTCAAGTGCAAAAGCTCCGGAAGCACACCCCTTCACATCGCCGCGAGCGCAGGCAGCTTGGAGACGCTCATCACCCTGCTCAGGGTGATACAGCCCCATTGCATCGACACTTGCGATCAGGTCGGACCCAGCAGCCGCATTTCTCTTTCTCTTCTGGTCGCGACGACCACGCACCTTCACCTTCGGTTTCTCACCGTTGCGCGTTGTAGGTGAATCAAACGGCTCTCCACCTAGCGTCCTATCAGGGCCACAGCGACTGCGTGCGGATGTTGATCAAGTGTGGAGGCAACTTGGCCGCCATGACGAAGACCGGAGTCACCGCTGTCGACGCGATATTCGCGCATATGCCGCGACCGTTGGACTTCTTAAAGGATATCTTGGATTCTTGCGTACAGATGAGCAGTAATTGCTCCTCGGAGAAATACAATACCGTAAGAATCCCTCCGGCCTCAACCGTCCCGACGCGGACGTTCTCTTCGTTCCGCTTCGTTCCCTTCGCGACGAGCTCGAAACGAGCAAAACGCGTCTCGCTATCTTTTCCTCTTTCTCTCTCTCTCTCTGTTCAAAGATCACCGTCGACTTCAGCATATTGGCGCCCAAGTACCATATGCAAATGAGGGTGATGACCGCCATCATAGCCGCCACGTCGAGTGTCACGCAACTGGCGATACTGCAACACCCGCTCGTGGAGACGTTCCTGCGACTCAAATGGGCGAAACTCCGGATCTTCTTCTTCCTGCTCGTGCTCGTGCACATCGTCTTCGTCATCTCCCTGTCGTCCTACGCTCTGATGCTGTTGCAAAACGAGAACTACGTGCTGCATCGAGGTTTCCTCGGCATCTGCGCGTGCATCATTCTCATACACAATATGATTCAAGTGTTGCTGGAGCCCAGGTAAGAAGGGAGTTTGTTCCGTCGGACTTGCCGAATCGACGGGCTATACTCGACGCGCGTCACGGACACTTTCAGGCACTATTCGATGCAATTCGAGACGTGGTTGTCGTTCATGTGCGTCGTGCTGTCGTTGGCGACGTCGATTGCGGGTAAGTGCGTGGAATACACGAAGGACGACATTCAACAAGGGCTGCAAGTACAAACGACGCAAGCAACGACTGAGATGAAAGGAACACAGGCGGAAGGGGAGAAGCTTCTGCAGTGCCCGGAGTGGCTGCTGCATTGCATGAGCATCAACATCTTGCTGGGTTGGGTACAGATGATGCTGCTGATCGGCCGGTTCCCCATGTGGGGCTATTACGCGCTCATATTCTCCGCGGTGCTGAAGAACATGCTGAAGGTCTGTCGACGTAGTCGCCCTTGAACCTGGACAAAGCGTCCAAGCACCCTTGGCAGTTTTCGGAACTCTAGCTCGGACTTTATCGAACGTTTAGGTTATGGGGGTTCGAAAAGATAAACAGTAAATCATAATTAGCGATGATTGAATCGTATCAGTTAATCAACGACAAAATTGATTGATTAATAGAGCAAATGATTAATAGAGCAGTAAGAAATAATATTCAGCGAGTGCAAAAGTGTCGATGACTTTCCTGAAAGCGACTGATGACGAAATATGAACGATTCGGAAATTCCGGTCGGCGATGCCAGAATTCTGTTCGGGTTTGTCCCGGCAACCTTGATAATTTGGACTGATAATTTCGACAACTTCAACCGCAATTTCCGTGTCGTTTACACTTCACCGGAATCATACAATGCGACCGCTCGGTCTTTGATAAAATTGCTCGGTTAATTTTTCCATCGCGAGATTCATCGAGGCTTTTGCACTCATCCAATAATTTATTTACAGCATAATCAATATAAACACACCCCCTGCCCCATACACCTTGATATTTGACAATATCCGTACGGCAGAGTGTCGAAAACTGGACGTGTTCCGTTCTATGATTCGGTTTATTTGCTTCATCGACGGAATACGCCAGTTAACGATTCGAGCGAAGCTTCCTGAGGCAAGATTCCTCCTCCTCCGTCGTGAACTTCCCTGACGCGACTTAATTAGGACTTCATCGCGGATGATGAGTCGCGTTTCCTCGGCGATGACGTGCCGCGTGCGACCGCAAAGTATGACTAAAAGAGAGAAGACAGAAGGAAAAGAGAATCCCGGCAAACACCGAGAGAGAGAGAGAGAGAGAGAGAGAGAGAGAGAGAGAGAGAGGGAGGGAGGGAGGGGGAAAGAGAGAGAGAGAGAGAGGACGTCGTCGACGACGTGTTCCATCAGAAACCTCATACTCTTTCGCCCATGTTTCCTCGTCCTCCGTCTCCCTCTCCCACGCCTCGTCAGCGGACCACCCTCGCGATTATGACGACGCGCGTCGAACAAAGCTCTTTTTGTCCCCGTCCAGATGCTCCTGGCGTTTGGCTACCTGATCGTTGGATTCGCGTTAAGCTTCGCCGTTTTGTTCCACGGGGGAGGCGAGTTTTGCGATTTATGGAGGGCCATCGTGAGGACCGTGGTAATGATGATGGGCGAATACGAGTACGAGGACCTGCTGAAACAGAAGCATCTACGGATCACCACCAGAATCGTGTTCTTTATCTTCACGATGCTCGTCAGCGTCGTCCTGATAAATCTCATGATCGGCCTCGCGGTCAACGACATCCAGGGTATCGAGAAGGAGGTACGAAACTTGCGCGAATAATTACGCGCCCGGAGCGAGATGATCAACGTGTAAATTCCTGTCCCATTAGGGCCACATACGTCGGCTGCTGAAGCAGGCGGAGTTCATTGCGCATTTGGAGCGAGTGACGTCACACCGGATCTTCCGCAGCAGCTGGCTGCGTCCTCGACTGAGCATACACTCGAGCCGCGACATTCCCGCCAAAATGACGCTGAGCTACCGTGAGAATTATTCTCACCGCGCGAGTCATATTGAGGCGCCCCGCGACATACCCTGCGAGCTGAAGGAGGCTCTATTTCTCTTAGCCACGAAGTCCTGCTTCATGAGCGACAAGTACGTTGGGCGACTCTTGTTTCTTTCATGACGAACGCCGCGAGGTGGCGGCCGGGCATTTGCATATCGCGCCGTTTGTGATGCGTCGTGTTAAAGAAAGCCACGTGCCATTTTTCAGCTCGGCGGGGGACAGAAACGCGGAAGACACCGACGTCAAACTGAGCTCGTTGCTGAACGGTTTGGAGGGGCATCTACGGAAGCTGAGGCCGCGCTGCTCCAACAACTTGACGAGCCGGAAGCTGACGAGACCACGCAGGAACAAAAGAAAGTTCAAACCGAGAAACGTTATCAACTTGTGACACGCTCCGTCGCGGACGAGCGACGCTGCGAATTCATTCTCATCGTCACACTCTGCGTGTACTTTATATTTGCTACTACTTTATACCTGTTTCATTTTAGTATACACACGTCGCGCTTCGTCGGGACTTTTCGATAGATTGTCGGGCGAGAGATTTCGTTTTCCGTCCGGTAAAAATTTATTAATACGCCAAGTGGTCCTCGAGTCTCGGAATTTCGGTTCTACGTCAACTCTGCGAATCTTCCAACAAACATGATGGATCTCAACGTGCAACGTTATACAGGATATTTATCTCAGCCTAAGGTAGTGAATAAAGGAGAGAGAATTTGTCATTTGGTTTATTCATTAAACTTGCGAAACATCGAAGAATTAAACTTGAATAAGCTTATGAAACAAGTTGTGCGATTGATTAAGGTATGTTACTCGGTGAAATTAAGACTTAAGATTGGAGCCCGTTTAGGACTCAATAGAGAAGATGACGGTAAATAATCAGTCGGAGACACGAGAGTAGACGATAGTCTGCGCGGCGCACAATTGGCGAGCCTTTCGCAAATTGACGTACTAAAGAATGAACGTGGAATTACGCATTTTTGGGATAGCAGAGATTAACATTAAACATTGGTATATCAAGCAAAGCGAAGCATTTCTCGGCTCGAGCCGAGGAACAAACGGCAGGTACACTGAGAGAGAAAAGTATATGATATTTGGAACTATAGTGATATAGTAACTGAATTATTGTCCGAAATATCATATTTATAGTAAGTATTACCATAATATCGATAATAATTACGGTATAGGCATAGTATAACCAAGCATATAATATTTTTACTAAGAATTATAGTAAGTTAAACTAAAATTATTGTATGGATACAAATATAAAATGGTAGGTAAAGTAACTCTTTTATACAGTCAATATTACCAGAATATTTGCTAAGCGATGACAGATGTAACTATATGAATATTAAATCTCACTATATTTGTGAATGAGAAATTATCATATATTGTGGTAAGAGTAAGACAAACAATTGTTTAAGACAATCATTGACTATATATTTGTTTGTGTTTATTTTACTATATCTTGCAGGTTTCCACAAACTATAAAAATATGGTTGACGCCAAAATGAACTATAAAATATAGTGAGATTATAGTTAATTCAACTATATTTTTCTATCAATGTAGAGGAAAGAGAGACGCACCTGCTCTGCGACACCTGTGCGCGCAATGGTAAATCAGCGATCCGTCTTACCTTCCAGACCCTACAGGGGAAGGCCCGAATCACTTTGAGTGCGAACACGGATATCACCACGACATCATGCACTGATGGAAAAATATAGTTGAATTCATTATAATCTCACTATATTTTATAGTGAATTTCGGCGTCAAACATATTTTTATAGTTCGTGGAAACCTGCAAAATATAGTAGAATAAACACAAATATATAGTCAATGATTGTCTTAAATAATTGTTTAGTTACTTTTACCACACATATACCACATATATTTCTCATTCACAAATATAGTGAGATTTAATATTCGTACAGTTAAATCTGTCATCATTTAGCAAATATTCTGGTAATATCGACTATACAAAAGAGTTACCTTTTACCTATCATTTTACATTTGCATCCATATACAATAATTTTAGTTTAACTTACTATAATTCTTAGTAAAAATATTATACGGTTGGTTATACTATATCGTAATTATTACCGATATTATGGTAATACTTACTATAAATATGATATTTCGGATTATAATTTAGTTACTATATCATTATAGTTCATTATAGTTCAAATATCATAGACTTTTCTCTCGGTGTGCATTCGCGCAACTGCAGCACGCGGATGGCATCCATAACCGCGTTCGCATCGACCATTTTAACGAGTTTAAACTTGCCCGGCACGGCTAATTAAATTTTTACACGCCGACCACATTGTTAATTTCGCGTATGTACGTACTTACGCGTACATACGCATGTGTCTTAGTGTCTCTTTACTGTCCCGCCGTTGGCGGGATGATTTCGGGACAGTTTATAGGTGCGGCACTAAAGATCAAGAGCGCTCGCGTATAGCTTATACATTCATCTTATATATAATTTCATCAGGTCGAAATTCAGCCCACGATCGAGTAAGATTTAAGCGTAATCGCTGATGAAGCTAAATTACGCAATAATTAACGGTATTTACATAAAACACGCGCGCGCGCGCTAAGTCATCGTAGCGCTCGAACGCGACGCAGCCGGAGGACGATGCAAAAAATCCTGCCGCGAATTTTAGTAATTATTTCAACGGGATTACAAATATCCGCCCGGTAGTTCGCTACTGTGTGTAAAAGTTTCTATGTCCGGACAATTTCATGTCCGCTCGCAGTCTTTACTTTTTGTAATGTACACACGCGTCCGCGCGCGCGTGCAAGAACGCGAGAATGTTTATCCGCTTAATAACAGCTGTGTAAACAGCGAAAGTTTAAAAATTAGTGTCCACATAATTACGTGGGTCAATTAGATATTCGCGAGCTACGGAATACGAAAATTAACGCGATATTAAAGCGGAGTCGTCTCGGAATTAAGAGCGCGACCGCAACATCCGTCCGCGTTACTTCCGCTTGATAACGAACGCGTCAGCGCAGCCATCGTCGCCCGCCAATTACGTGCGAATAGTTGTCCGCGAAGAACACCGCGAGAGAGGCTCTCCCCGGTCCATCGTCGAGAGAGCGACGGAGAAGATGCCACCGATGCGAATGGTTGCGGAGGCCGCGATGAGGGAACGCGACCCTGACTATGTCGCCCTCATGTCCGCCCTCGAGAACGGCGAGCTCGAGCGGGCGGCCGAGATCTTGGCGCGCGACAGTCAAAATAAGTATATCCAGCCGATAGGCGCGCTCCAGGTGACGGCCTTGCACGTGGCCGCGTGGCAAGGAAGGATCGACCTGTTGGATCAGCTTTACGCCAAGGGCGCCGATGTCAACGCTGCGGACAAGATCGGCAGGTGCGCACTTTATTACGCAGCGCACTGCGGCTACGCCGACGTCACCCGCTGGATCCTCCAGCACGGAGGTGACACCCAAGCCAAAGCTGACATCAACTCGTGCAGCAAGGACCTCCACAAGTCTCCGCTCGTGAAATCCTGCTTCGGCAAAGCTGTTCGTACCCCTCCGAGCGCGCGGCTGCCGTGTTTTGTTGACAGGGGAGGGAGAAACCGGAAGCATCGAGATGCGCAACTTGGGACATTCTTATTGTCCCTTTGTCTCTAAATACGAATGTTTAAGAGCCTTCAGTATGGGATGAGTGTACATCTTGGTCCTGTCAAATATATCACGGTCTTAAGATGGCGGATATATATTGCGATGGCAGAATATTTCTTTCCCGAGGTTATTTCAAAGTCAATTTCAAGATCTTGTGGGTCGTTTCCTGTACGGCCTTTCGAATTCTTCAACCTCGGTTGAAACCTCGAATCATATGACGAGCGCATCGTTGTCCGATGCACAATGGTAGATAAGTATAAAATTCTCTGGAGATAAATGGGGCGTCCTGATGAGGTCGACTTGAACACAAGAGTCATGAATCATCTTGTGCACAAAAACTGTGTACAATTCCGAGTTATTAAACAACGCGATGAATGATTGCGCACAACGTCAATCTTCTTTGATCACATAGTTTCGAATTTTGCGTGATTCCTTGCGAAGTGCTGGACAAACCACTTCTTCAGTTTCACACAATAAAGTCTGAAGAATGAAAGTATCTTTAAAGGCCCAAACGATAGGAATATCCAGAGTCACGTGGCGCCATGTCTCAACCGACAGGACTTGACCTCTGCCTCAAGAAGCAAAAAGAGAGACAGAGAAAGATTTCACTTTTCTCGCAACAAAACACCACGGCGTGACAAGACGTAAAGCGCGACGTGCCACGTTCCCTTTCCTCGTGCTTTCAGTTGCCGTTACCGGTGTGCTGGGGGAGAACACCGTTGCACCAGGCGGTGAAGAACAACCACGCCGATGTAGTGCGCCTTCTGGTGGAAGCCGGCGCGGATGTGAACGCCAAGGACGAGAACATGGTCAGCCCGTTGCTGTTGGCGGGAAGCGCGGTGAATCGCGACGACAGTCAGGAGATGGCCAAGTTCGTCGAGATCATCAAGACCCTGGTGTCCGGGAAGGCGTTCGTCAACATCATTCATCCGGACACGGGTATGAAACGCGCGGAGCGTGTATCGTTGCCGTAATCTCTAGAGTCCGATTCACACGAAGCGACCGCCTTCCCTTTCGTCAGGTACCACAGCTTTGCATCACGCAGCGGGGATAGGCAGCGCGGAGGCGACAAAGTTGCTGCTGACGAACGGCGCCTGGCCGATGTTCAAGTGCAAAAGCTCCGGAAGCACACCCCTTCACATCGCCGCGAGCGCGGGTAGCTTAGAAACGCTCATCGCCCTACTCAGGGTGATACAGCCCCATCGCATCGACACTTGCGATCAGGTCGGTCCCAGTAGCCGCATTTCTCTTTCTCTTCTGGTCGCGACGACCACGCACCTTCACCTTCGGTTTCTCACCGTTGCGCGTTGTAGGTGAATCAAACGGCTCTCCACCTAGCGTCCTATCAGGGCCACAGCGACTGCGTGCGGATGTTGATCAAGTGTGGAGGCAACTTGGCCGCCATGACGAAGACCGGAGTCACCGCTGTCGACGCGATATTCGCGCATATGCCGCGACCGTTGGACTTCTTAAAGGATATCTTGGATTCTTGCGTACAGATGAGCAGTAATTGCTCCTCGGAGAAATACAATACCGTAAGAATCCCTCCGGCCTCAACCGTCCCGACGCGGACGTTCTCTTCGTTCCGCTTCGTTCTCTTCGCGACGAGCTCGAAACGAGCAAAACGCGTCTCGCTATCTTTTCCTCTTTCTCTCTCTCTGTCTGTTCAAAGATCACCGTCGACTTCGGCATATTGGCACCCAAGTACCAGATACAAATGGGGGTGATCACCGCCATCGTAGCCGCTACGTCGAGCGTCACGCAACTGGCGATACTGCAGCACCCGCTCGTGGAGACGTTCCTGCGACTCAAATGGGCGAAACTCCGGATCTTCTTCTTCCTGCTCATGCTCCTGCACATCTTCTTCGTCATCTCCCTGTCGTCCTACGCCCTGATGCTGTTGCAGGACGTGAACTACGTGCTGCATCGGGGTTTCCTCGGCATCTGCGCGTGCATCATTCTCATGCACAATATGATTCAAGTGTTGCTGGAGCCCAGGTAAGAAGGGAGATTGTTCCGTCGGACTTGCCGAATCGACGGGCTATACTCGACGCGCGTCACGGACACTTTCAGGCACTGTTTGATGCAATTCGAGACGTGGCTGTCATTCGTGTGCGTTGCGCTGTCGTTGGCGATTTCGTTAGCGGACAAGTGCGTGGAATACAAGGACGACAATCAAGGTCTGCGAGTGCAAGGGACGCAGACACCGACAGAGATGGAAGGGACGCAGGCGGAAGGGGAGGAGCTTCTGCAGTGTCCGGAGTGGCTGCTGCACTGCATGAGCATCAACATCTTGCTGAGTTGGATACAGATGATGCTGGTGATCGGCCGATTCCCGATGTTGGACTATTACGCGCTCATATTCTCCGCGGTGCTGAAGAACATGCTGAAGGTCAGTCGACGTCGTCGCCCTCGAACCTGGACAAAGTGTCCAGCACCCTTGGCAGTTTTCGGCACTCTAGCTCGGACTTTATCGAACGTTAAGGTTATGGGGGTTCGAAAAGATAAACAGTAAATCATAATTAGTGATGATTAAATCGTATCAGTTAATCAATGACAAAATTGATTGATTAATAGAGTAAATGATTAATAGAGCAGTAAGAAATAATATTCAGCGAGTGCAAAAGTGTCGATGACTTTCCTGAAAGCGACTGATGACGAAATATGAACGATTCGGAAATTCCGGTCGGCAATGCCAGAATTCTGTTCGGGTTTGTCCCGGCAACCTTGATAATTTGGACTGATAATTTCGACAACTTCAACCGCAATTTCCGTGTCGTTTATACTTCACCAGAAATCATACAATGCGATCGCTCGGTCTTTGATAAAATTGCTCGGTTAATTTTTCCATCGCGAGATCCATCGAGGCTTTTGCACTCATCCAATAATTAATTTACAACATAATCAATATAAACACACCCCTTGCCCCATACACTTTAATAGTTGAAAATATCCGTACGGCAGAATACCGAAAACTGGACGTGTTTCGTTCAATGATTTGGTTTATTTGCTTCATCGACGGAATACGCCAGTTAATGATTCGAGCGAAGCTTCCGGAGGCAAGATTCCTCCTCCTCCTCCGTCGTGAACCTCCCTGACGCGACTTAATTAGGATTTCATCGCGGATGATGAGTCGCGTTTCCTCGGCGATGATGTGCCACGTGCGACCGCAAGGTATGACTAAAAAGGAAAAGACAGAAGGAAAAGAGAATCCCGGCACGTCGAGAGAGAGAGAGAGAGAGAGAGAGAGAGAGAGAGAGAGAGAGAAAGTGAACGTCGTCGTCGTCGTCGAAGTGTTCCATCAGAAACCTCACACTCTCTCGCCCATATTTCCTCCGTCCTTCGTCGCTCTCCTCCGCTCTCCCCCGCGCCTCGCCAGCGGACTACCTTCGCGATTATAACGACGCGTTGAACGAAATTCCTTTTGTCCCCGTCCAGATGTTCCTGGCGTTTGGCTGCCTGATCGTTGGATTCGCGGTAAGCTTCGCCGTTTTGTTCTACGAGAGAGGCGAGTTTAGCAATTTATGGAAGACCATCGTGAGGACCATTGTAATGATGATGGGCGAATACGAATACGAGAACCTGCTGAAAGAGAAGCATCTACGCATCACTACCAGAATCATGTTCTTTGTGTTCGCGATACTCGTCAGCATCGTCCTGATAAATCTGATCGGCCTCGCGGTCAACGACATCCAGGGTATCGAGAAGAAGGTACGAATCGTGCGCGAGCAATAATTACGCGCGCGCACGCGAATATTCCGAGATTGGAGTCGACACGCCTCGCGCTCCCTCGCCCCGATACGCGCAGGCGAGGCTCGCGCAGCCAGAGAGAGATGATCAACGTGCAAATTCCTGTCGCATTAGAACCACATACGTCGGCTGCTGAAGCAGGCGGAGTTCATTGCGCATTTGGAGCGAGTGATGTCACACCGGATCTTCCGCAGCAGCTGGCTGCGTCCTCGCCTGAACATACACTTGAGCCGCGACATTCCCGCCAAAATAACGCTGAGCTACCGTGAGAATTATTCTCACCGCGCGAGTCACATAGAGGTGCCCCGCGACATATCCTGCGAGCTGAAGGAGGCACTATTTCTCATAGCCACGAAGCCCTGCTTCATGAGCGACAAGTACGTTGGGCGACTCTTGTTTCTTTTATGACAATCGCCGCGAGCCGGCCGGGCATTTGCATATCGCGCCGGCTGATGCGTCGTATTAACGTAAGCCGCGTGCACTTTTCAGCTCGGCGGGAGAGACAGAAACGCGGAAGACGCGGAAGACGCCAACTGAGCCCGTTGCTGAGCAGTTTGGAGGAACATCTACGGAAGCTGAGGCTGCATCGGCGTCGTCAGCAGTCGGCGTTCCGGAAGCTGTCGGGACCACGTAGGAGCTAGAGAAAGTTCAAATCGAGAAACGTTATTGTTGAAAATTAATTCTATCTGGTTCACGTTTTTCCGGAAAACTTGGTTCTTTTAATTCTTCAAGTTAGAACAATAAACTTTGTAAGAGGGAACAGTTTTTTTTTAAAACGAACAAGTATAGTTATGTAAAGAAAAAATGGTAAAGAAAATTAATAATTAGCTGATATCCAAGTCTTGAAAACATCCGTCGAAGCGTAAAAAGATCCTTAGTATAATCTTGTTTTCGTTGACGGATTCAGCTTCATAAGAGAAGTTTCTCAAATCAAGCCTCAGTGTAATTTCTTGAGGACTAGGGTGAACCTTTAGGGGATGAATTTGATTCAGTCTTAGCCTGAGTCTAGTTTTTTATTAAAAAAAAAAGAGAAAACTTTGGAATCTGTAAAATAGAAATAAATTAGTGGAATTTTATATTTGATGAAATAAATATAGTTTTAAAGAGCAACTTTCTCCTCTCCTATCGTAGGAGTTTGTGTATGAGGAATTCTCAATTTTGTAAGAACAAGCCTTTTCCCTTCGTGGAAAATTTCGATATGTTTAAAGATGAATAAATATCTTTTCTCCCACCGTAGAAAATTTCGTTAATTTAACCGTTTTCGCCTCTCCCTTCGTGAAAGTATCGATAAAAGGTTTCAAAATATTTACCTCATTTGTAAAACTTACGCTAATAATCTTAATAATTCTGTTTCTGATAAATCTATGTTGTTGCGCCCGAGCTCGGAAAGGAATGAATAAATTTCTGTAAACAGGAAAGTTGACATTCGCCTTGCGTTGCCTCGAAACAGACCTGTTATAGCTATATATGAGATATTTATATCGTGTTCAAAAAATATGATTTTGCGATTCGTTTAATTGTTCGATTTTACCGAATTTTTAAGAAAGGTTTCTGAACAGCTATCAACTTTTGACACGCTCCGTCGCGGACGAGCGACGCTGCGAATTCATTCCCATCGTCGCACTCTGCGTGTATTTCATACTTGTTACTATTTTGTACCTATTTTATTTTAGTACGCGCTTCGTCGGGACTTTTCGATAGATTGTCGGGTGAAAGATTTCGTTTTCCGTCCGGTAAAAATGTATGGACGCGATGGAGTCGGAATTTCGGTTCTATTTTTGTTAACTCTGAGAATTTTCCAGAAAATTTGGAGAATCTCAACATGCAATATCATACAAGATATTTTCTCAGCCTAAGATGGTAAATAAAGAGAAAGAATTTGTCGTTTGGTTTAGTCATTAAACTTGCGAGACATTGAAAAATTAAATTCGAATAAGCTTATCAAACACGTCAAGTAATTAAAATATGTTACTCGTTGAAATATTAAGATTACAAATTAAATGAGTCCATGTAAGACTCAATAGAGAAGATGACGGTAAACAATCAATTGTAGATACGAGAGAGAAGACGGTAGTCCGCGTGGCGCACAATTGGCGAGCCTTTCGCAAATTGACGTACTAAAGAATGAACGCATTCTTGAGGAATTGGCCATTCTGGAATTACGCATTTTTGAGATAACAGAGATTAACATTAAACATTGATGTATCAAACCAAAGCGAAGCATTTCTCGGCTCGAGCCGGAACAAACGGCAGGTAGAGGAAAGAGAGACGCACCTGTTGTGCGACACCTGTGCGCGCAATGGTAAGTCAGCGACCCGTCTTACCTTCCAGAGCGCACGGGAGATGGGGGGAAGATCCGAGTTAGTCGCCGCGCGCCCACAGATGTCAGCACCGGCACCGTGGATTCGCGCGTCGCGTTCCGCAGCTGCAGCACGCGGATGGCATCTATAATCGCGTTCGCATCGACCATTTTAACGAGTTTAAACTTGCCCGGCACGGCTAATTAAATTTTTATACTCCGACCACATTGTTAATCTCGTGTACGTACGTACGTACGCGTACATATGCACGCGCATGTGTCTCTTTATTGTCCCGTCGTTGGCGGGATGGTTTCGGGATCGTTTATAGGCGCAGTACTAAAGATAAAGAGCGCGCGTGTAGCTTATTCAATTTCATCAAGTCGTAATTCAGCCCACGATCGAGTAAGATTTAAGCGTAATCGCTGATAAGGCTGAATTACGCAGTAATTAATGGTATTTACGATAGTACGTAAAACGCGCGCGCTAGGTCGACGCGACGCGACGCGACGCGTTGTATCTCTGAATATATATGCCTGGTATTAAAGAAATTTCTTTTTCCTTTTTTCAACCACGATATATACATTTAACCCGGCGGGCTTCGCGTGTTCGCGTCTCCATATATCCGGCTACTAAACAGCCGCGCGTATTATCCCCCCGAAGCAACGGCCGGGAATTACGCAGCCGAAAAATATTGCGGAGCATAAATTACAAACCGGATAAGTATATTTGCAAAATGCGAGCTCCCTTTACCAAACGATACATCGTATCGCGACAGCGAATTCCCATCGCATAAAACGCGTAATATTCTGTCTTACTCGTTCCTGCTATTTTTTTTTTATTTAATGCTTTATGGCGCAACCAGGCAATTTTATAGAATTCCCATCAATGTTACGCAAGAAACAAAAATTTCTCCTTGTTTCTCTCTCTCTCTCTCTCTCTCTCTCTCTCTCTCTCTCTCTCTTTCTCTCTCTCTCTCTCTCTCTCTCTCTCTCTCTTTCTCCCTGGAAAATGTTACCGCTAAACTCCACATTTTGACGTATTATACTTAATTCATGTTTCGAGATAATAGAGTTACAATTGATTAAAGGATGCAATAAGCGGAATATGCGGCGGTTAAATAGCACGCGCATTTTTAAACGCGTATTAGTCGGGTAATCCCCGACGCGGTACACGATGGATCCGCTCTGCATTCGTAAAGTTTGCACGAGGAGCTAATTAAAACTTTATTAAATATAAAGGGCCGTAGAGGCGCGTGGCTGAAATTCGGTTTGGAACCGCGGCGGTTTGAAAGGGAACAACAGCGGCAAAAAGCGGGAGTTGAAAAATTCGCGCAGGAGGGAGGCGAGTCTGTGTGCGGGAGGAGGTGACTCGCGCCGACGATGCGAATTTAGATGCTTTCATGACGTATTAAATTCACTTCGTACGTCGTGGTTCTGTATATGTTTCAACGACACGGCGGCGGCGGAGGTGCGCGATCGTTGTAATTTCGGGAGCGCGTCGGAAATATGCAGCCGCTGTTTTCTCGATTTTGCACCGCCAGAGGAAATACGGCTATTTCGGATTTTCACTCTCGGCTCGCGCATAATTTTCAGGAATCCGAGGCTCGATTTCGATTTCGCGCCGCGACAATTTCACCGTTACGCGTAAAAGCGTGCGCCGGATGTGATCGTTGCAGGCGTGACGATATTCCTCCTCCCTTCCTCCGCCCTTAAAATTGGCGAGCAAAAATTGTGCTGCAGGCAGGTGGAATTGGATATCGCTCGGGATAATACAAGATCGTTATGAATTCACCGAGAGAGTCAGATTAGGTTGGGTTAGATACATTCTCTCTCTCTCTTTCTCTCTCTCTATCTCTCTATCTCTCTTTCTCGACGGTATATTAATTAAACGCTGAAATTGGTTGCGACAGGCGGCAGCGGACGCATAAATTATCATAAGTTATTCCGTTCTTCCGCGGCTATGAAGAAATCACATGTGCACCTGCCCCCTAATGACTTCACACACGTTGCCCTTAGGAGCGCGTTCGCATAAATGCTCGCCGCATCTAAGAATAAATTCATCACGACGCCGCCGCCGCCGCCGCGCTCCATCTTTATATTTCGCGGACCGATGAATATATGCCCGATAAATTTCGATGCCGACGCGCGGTGTCGCAAAACGCGAAAACCAGTATTCGACGCGCAACAGGAGACGAGAAAAAAAGGCAGGCACGCTGCTTCGAGCGAGTCGTCTTAACACGCCTCGCAAATAAATGCGCTAACCGGCGACATTTACGAGCTTGGTCGGCCGGTGCGTCGACGAGGCGCTCGCGCGCGCGCGCTTGTCCTGCGAGCCGTAAAGCTCGCGGCGAATAAGTAAAAAAGTCGTTTGAATTTTCCTACCTTCGTTACCAAGCGCGCGATAAGCCTCGCTAATTCGTCAAGAGACGGGCGCATCGCCTACGACTCTAGGCATCGTCCACGATTCTCATGAGCGACGGCGACGACGAGGGCAACGACGCGGTGGCGGCGGCGGCGACGACGACGACGACGACGATGACGACGATGACGGCAACGACGGCAAAGACGACGACGACGACGACGACGACGACGGCGACGACAACGGCAGCGTAGCGGTGGTGGAAGAGACGGCGCCGAACGTTCGGGCGAGTTCGCGTTCGCTCGGGTGGGGTCGGTTCGCCGCCTTGCCTGCCATGACTGGCCGAGCGCCGCGTCGCGGGGGAGCGAGGTGGCGCGTCGGCGAGTGAAGCTGCCGCGGTGAATCCGGCGTCGTGATTGGTCGCCGCGTGGGAGAGCCGCCCGCCCGAGCTCACCGTCGCCGGCAGTCGGCACCGAGCATCCAGGTAGAGTGTATCGAGCCATTCGGAGTCGGTGCGAGATATATACACGGGAATAACACGCAACTCCGGACATTGCTCTGACGTTATTTACTACAGACGGGCACGATGGCCGTCCGGCGCGTGCACCGTTCGCAACAGCAACAGCAACAGTGCCACCGTAGTCGTCGTCGTGGTGCCGTACTCGTTGTCGCGCGTCGTGTCCATCGCACGGGCCCGTTCACGGAATCGCAGCATCGCGCGCTCGCCGAAGCATCGTTGCCACCGTCTCCGTGCGGATACGCGGCGCGCAAACTGTACTCGTGGTGCGTGTACTAAAAAGTCCTCCGGACTCGCGGCACCGAGATCCAGAGGTGGTTCGCCACTCGCTCGTCAGTCAGTCAATCAATCGGGAGTGAGAGAGTAGGAGCAGCGAGGAAGGACAACGCGCGCGCCTCGCTCCGCGAGAGTAAACTCTGCGCATTAAACCCGTCACGGCCTTCTGTGTGTACCACCTACCTCTGTACCAACCGCCTCCGCTCTTCCTCTCTTGCGCTCTCTCGCTCTCCTGCTCCACCTCCGCCGCCCCGCGGCTTTCCGCAGTGACGACCTTCCCACGCGTATCTTTCACGACGACGACGACGACGACAACGACGACGACGACGACAACCACGACGACGACCGGAAATTAAAGTAACACGCTTCGGAGACGCGCGCGGGTCGTCCACCACCGCGCGCCGTCGTCTCGATCCGCCGGACGGAGCGTCGATTGTTTCTCGCTTGGAGTGTTTCTCGGAGTGTCGTCATCACGCGTCGTCGCGTCGCGCGGACACGCGAGCTGCGAGAGGAACGCGCGCGCGGTCCGCGCCGGCTCCGCGTCCGCTCGCTGCGTGGAGTGCGCGCGGCCTAACCTCGTTCGTCCGTCGGCGACGAGCGCTCGTGCGCACGGTGGCGGCTGTGTGACAGTGAACGGTTCTCTCGCGTCTGGTGCTGCCGAGTTGCTGCCTCTCCGACCACACACAACACACGCGTCCACACACACACGCCCGTCCGCCCACACATATACACACACACACACGCAACACACACACGCGCGCGCGCGCGCGCGCGTGCGGAGTTGAAGTTGGTTCCGGTCTGCCCGCGGTAGTTGGTGCGCGCTCTCACAGTGTGACTGACATCGAGTGTGAACAGTGATAACTCGCGATCGCGATACGCGCTATTATATTCGGCGAGAGAGGAAAAAGTGGCCAAAGAAACACACACACAACACACACACACATACATACATACATATACACACACAGTGCAGGCCGTTGGCAGGAACGGCGCGCGCGACTCAGCGGGAGAGAGAAAGAGAAAGAGAGGAAGTCGCGCGCGGCGCGAGTTCGAAACTCCAGCGCCACACTCCGACGGCGACGTGTAAACTCAAGTAAATAACTCAAGCGGCCAACTTCAGTAGCCTTCAACCGTCGTCGCCGGTCGCGTTCCGCGCGGATCGTCGCTCGCGCGGATTCTCCCAGGCCGGTATTTTCATCGTCGTCGTCGCGAAAGCGCTCGCTCGCTCGCTCGTTCGCCCGCGACGTGCCTGGCGTTTAGCGTCGACGCTAAAAAACTACGCGAGAGGACAGGAAAGACGACGGTGGCCGTCGCCCGGCCTGCAATAATGCCGCACGTGAGCAGTAGCGGCGGCGGCGACGATCTCGGCAGCGAAGACGAGGTCAAGGTCTTCAAAGATGAGGGCGAGGAGGAGAAGAGGTCCTCGGAGAACCTTACGGAGGACAAGAGCGATCTCATCGATCTCACCGAGTCCGAGGTGCGTCGAATCTCTCTCGCTTACTCCGCCGACATGCGAGCAACCCCTCTCCCCCGCTTTCTCGCGCCTTCGAGAACATTCCTTTTTTCCGCCATATTCCCCCGCGCGCGCGCGACCTTTCCTTCCCCGTGTCCGACGAGCGTGTCCCGACTTGTCGCCGTAACCGACTACGACGTGAGAATTAAGTGCGTGCCGATCTCGTGTGTTGCAGGAAAAGGGCTCACTCGCCGCTGGCAGCTACGCGACGACTGGCAAGGCGTCCGCGAGGTCTGATCTCAGTCCCGTTTTCGGTGAGTTCTCCAGCTATCATACATGTTGCATGTTCGCACCTCCGCGGCGAGCGGCGATCCTCGAAATTCCAAAGCCGGGACGTCGTCTTCGCGCCAGAACGGACGACGCGGATCGCCGGCGGCTGCCGCGAGATGCGCTTCGCGGAGGCCACGCACCGCGCCGACGGCAATTTCGTCGCGCGCGAGTTTAATTATTCGCCAGGCCTCCTCCGTAATCCAAGCGAGCCAAAGCGGCTCAAAGGGATCGATAGTCGTCGTTCGAGTAGCGCGTCTCGCTGCGGTAAACAGCCGGCCACCGGCACGGGCTTCGTCGTCTCGACGGAAGCAACGAGCGCATGAGAGAGAGAGAGAGAGAGAGCGACTCGCGTCTCAGCTCGCTCTGTCTCTCTCGCGTGCGAAATTCATTCTTATCGTATCGGCTTACGCGCGCGCGCGCGCGGCTCGCAATCATGCCGTCGGTTTTCACCTCCGTGTGTGTGTATCCGGGGCTATGCGGCGACGGCGGCGGCGGACATTGTCCGTCCACATGGTATGCTCTATAGAAACGGGTGCGCTCTGATCTAGATATCGCGTATCGGTAACGGATATCTGGCGAGAAATAACGTTAACGCCGCGCGCGCGCGCGCGCGCGCGTGTATCGGAAATAATCCGGCCTAAATAGGACTGACTCGGAAAGAGCAGCACAGTTTCCGCGATTGATCGCCCGTGGCACCGGGCGAATTAAATAATGAACCTTCGGCGCACCGGCACGATGTTTCTCAATGGCCCGCTTAGCGGGCTATAGCTCGCGCTTTACCGTGTCACAAGCGTTGGTATCTTGCCGAGCGCGCGCGCGCGCGCGCTGCCTCGCTTAGATTAACGTCATTTGAAATCGATCGCGGCACGATAAGTGCCTGCTCTCATAGCCGCTTTCACGGTCCGATAATAATCGCGTCTGTGTGCGCTCTGTGTCGAGAGAGCGGGGAAAATATGTGACTCTCGGATTCCCGGCGTATGGCAGTCCGTTAGCCGCGCTCTCGCACGGCGCTCCTATTAATTTCCTTTACGCCATTACGTCGCATTACGTTGCACGTCGTCGCGCGTTCGAAAGCTTCTTCTTCGTCTTCCCTTCGGTCGTCATCGTCGTCGCCGTCGCCGTCGCCGTTGTCGACGGCGACCTTTTTGCCGCGCTCACCGCCGCAATAATCGCGAACGCCGGAGGCGTCGACAACGACACTTAGACAATCCTGATCGCGGCGGAAAGAGGGAGAAGGGCGGTGAGGGGTAGAGAGAGAGAGAGAGAGAGAGAGAGAGAGAGAGAGAGAGACGCATGACGCGTTGCTCTTATTGGCACGACGTCAATAAGAGCTACTTTGTAAGCCGTCTCGAGTGCGCGCATTCTCTCGCTCTTGTAATGCGCCGAAACGCGGCGGATTATTGCGCGAGCGACGCTTACAGAAATAAGGCGTGGTGGCTATCGGTGGATGCCAGCCGATTTATACGCAAAGTTCGTGTCGTCGCGTGTCGCGCCGGAGTGAGGCTTTCTAATCGCCTCTCGCGTCGATAGCAGATAGATACGCGCTCTCTTATCGCCGGTGATAATTTTAATAGGCGCTAATTGTCTACGCACGCTTATCCGGCTATCTCTCGACGGAATTCAACGGCGACATTTTGGTGCGTGAAAATATTCTCCCAATGGAGCGCCTCGTTCACACGGGGACGAGCGGCCGCCCGTGAAACGCGTCAATGTCATCAAACGCCGCGCGAAGAGACCCGACTGCTAACGTAAACAATGCAGCGACTCGAGCTGCGTCTCTCTCTCTCTCTCTCTCTCTCTCTCACAGCCGTGCAACTCGGCGATGGACAACAAAGAGCGTCTACGGTCTCGCGGCGGCACGTAAAAATATTGCTTCGCGAGAGAGCAAAGGAGGACTTTCTAATTTAATAGATACTCCCGTCTCTCTCTCTCTCTCTCTCTCTCTCTTTCTCCTTCCCGCGAGCGCGTCTAAAAGTTTTTAATATCGGGCAACGGTGGAAAGCCACCGTCGACAGGCTCGTTCGAAACAAATCGCCGCGACGTGTCAGTAACGTATACAATGAGGTGCGCGCACGTCGTTCTCGCCGGCCGGCCGGCCGGCTCTTCCTCTTCCTCTTCCCTGCCAGAGTCTGTCACTGACAAATCGATGTCGCGCTACCGCTCGCGCTGTCACGCCGTTGCCAAAACATTTTAATGAGCGAACGCGCCGCGCAACAGCAACACGACACGTCTCTCCTCTCCCGGACGCGTCTGGTCTCGCGCCGCTGAGATGTCACAGGCGCGATTGCGGCGTGAGCCGCGTCCGAAACTTCATCCTCCTCTCGAAAGAAACGCTCGAAGGCTGAAAGAAATTGACGGCGACGCGCTCAGTTCGACGAAACTGTCTGTCTGTCTGTCTGTCTCCCTCTCTCGTCCGCCCGCGACTGCTGTCGACACCGACGCCCTGTCTCTGTGCGCGCGCGCGCGCGTCTCGCTTCTCCGCAGCGAAATCTTCGCTGTATTCGCGCTTTCGTAGTTTTTCTCGCGAATTTTCTCGTGAATTTTCACGCGTCACACGGCGAACGCAATTGTGTGAAGCTCAACGAACAGACGCGCGCGTACGCACCTGCGCGACTACGTTTCCGATCCTCTCGCTTCTTTTGCTCATTAATACTCCGACTCATTCGGTACACGTGTGCGAGAGAGAGAGAGAGAGAGAGGGGCGGAGGGGATGGAAGGGGAAAGGGAGTAGGATTACGCGCCACTCGGGCGAAGCCAGTTGTTTCCATTGACCGTGTTGCGTCGCGTTCGCGTCGTCGTCCGTGGATCACTCTCGCCTCATACGCGCGCGTAAATACCGCGCGCAGGAGGGGGGCGGGCGGCAGGGAAAGGATTCGTTGCACTCGCCGTCAGAAAACGTGTAAAACGTTACGTCGGGATCCGTTGTAATCGCTTAAGTGGTTAATTATGGCTCTTCGAGGAAGCTCCGAGCGCGCGAGGCTGAGGCGGAATTAATCTTGGCATCGGCCGACTTCACTAGAGCCGCTTCTCGTGTTTCCCTCTCTCCCTCGCCCCGCCGTCCCTTTTTTTGTCGCTCTTACGCCTGAAACTAGTTATTCAGATATGCCGCCGAGAGTCGCGGCGGAGCGATCGCGTGTAGCGCGTCACATTCTGACGTCATTTTTAACCAAACGAGCCGCTCCGGCCTGACGTGCGTGCGAGTGTGTATCAATGGCGAAGCCGTAATACGCGATGCTCATATTAAAATCTTTCTCCTCTTTTTTCCCCTCGTTTTTTTTGTTGGCCAACATTTTGCGCGCGCGCGCGCGCGCGCGCGTGTTTTTTTGTTTTACACCGAGCGTGTAATTTACGCGCGTATGATTAAAAGCGCAACACAAAATGAAGACGTGGAAGCTCCCGTGTAAAAGGGTCTGCATTTTTTATATCGGAATTCCTGTTGCGCGCGCGACGCGGTATATTTTTGTAATAATCCATTGCCCGCCGCCGGTTACGCTGGGCGAGGAAGCGCGCGCGCGCGCGCGCGGGGGTGGCGAGGAGGAGGGCCGCGCGTATCGGGGGATGTATTAACATAATGTTGCAAAACGCGCAATGCTCAGCACGCAGCGCGCTCCTTTCCGTCGCCTGTCCTGTCTTCCCTTTTACCCGCCACTCATTTTCGATAAATGCCGCGCGCTTCATTAGCATTCGCGTCTCGGCTCGACGCTTCTCTCTCTCTCTCTCTCTCTCTCTCTCTCTCTCTCTCTCTCTCTCACTCTTCTGCTCTCTGCGCGCGCCGACGGAAAATAAAGGAGGAAAATATCCGGGTCCGTAAGGAGCGGACATCTCGTCGTTAGGCACTTGCGCGCGCTCGCGCGACTTAGGCGCTAGGCGCATAAAACCGGCGAGTGGAGAACCCGCGCGAGTTGAGCCGGCGACGCAAACTGGCCACGCGCCACTAATTATCGCGGCCGCCTGTCAACCCGGGGAGCGAAGTAATCGCGCGCCGCGGCCCGACGATTTCACCGTTCAACGGCCGAGAGCGCGCGCGCCTCCTTACGCGCAGCATGTTTACGCTCAAGTATCCTGCCGAGGTCTCGCGAGGATCCGGGCCGAGGCGCGAAGTGTCGCGACTGAATATCTGAATATCTGGAACGTACGACGCGATCGGTAGCCGAGAGAGTTGGACGATCGCGGACGGAATGCGCCGCGAGAGCGAGCGAAGCTGCGATTCCGCCCCCGCCCTCATCCCCACCCCGAGAGCCTTTTGCTCGCGAAACTCGCTTCGGAACTTGCTTCGACCGCGTCTGCACCGAGCGCGCGCTTAACCCTCCGATAGCCGCGCGATACCGCAACTGACACAATGTATCGCTGCAGTCGGCCTCGAGGTCTCGCATCCACCCTGACCGCGCCGCGCTTGTCAACTTGTCCTTCACTTTGCGTCTTTCTTGCGTAGCTTAGCGCCTGGCTTCGCAGGCAAGCGCGGCGGCGCCGGTGAATGAAAAACCGCTGCGTTTCAACGCAGCGCGGTTGAACCTCACCTCCGTGAGGCAGAGCGCGACTACGCGATTCACGATTCATCGGTGAAGAATTTGCTCTCCGAACGCGAGGAGTTTATTCCGATTACTCGTTTCTCCGCGCCGACGACGCTGATATATTCTTCCGCCAACGCTGCGCGCGGAACAATGTCTCATGTACACGCGACGCGACACGACGCGACGCGACGCGACGCGGAATGATACGAATGCGTAATATCCTTGGCCGGCGCTCGCGTTCTACCGGTGTGGAGGTCGCATAATGCTTCTCGCAGGCACGCACGATTTCCGCCGGCTCTCGTACGTGGGCACTCTCTCGCGAAAGCGCGCGCCTTTCGATACGCGTATACCTTGTCGCGCTGCCTCGGAAAACGCCTCCGCGCGCGTCCGAATCGCACCTCGGCTCGGCGCGGATGTGCGCGTCGTGCGCGCTTCGGCGAGCGGAAGATCTCGAAAGAGAGCGGGAGAGCGAG